GACATTACACAGTCTCACTTGTGCATCAACTTCTCTAAACAGACCATCTAGGTGTTCAAAAAACGTCTCAATCTGTGAGCTTTTCTTCTCAATGTCTTTTATTTCAATTTTTTCGCGACTCATATTTTTATTTTTTATTTGTTACTCTTGTTGTTACGACTCTACTCTATTATATATAGATCAAGAAGATTAAACAGCAATGTGTCATTTATTCAGTATTTGGGAAATACTTTATTAGTGGGGAAATAACAACAAATCCAAATAATATAGTACTAATATATAACTGTACTTATCTTAAAAGATTTCATAGATAAGAATAGATTTCCTCTATATTTTATTCTATATATATAGTATTTTAAAGAAAATGACACACGTCAAATTATAAATCTATATATAAATACGTTTTTTGCAAATTAAATCACAATAGTCAAAATTTCCTAATTTTTATTTTGGAATTTTGTGCAAACAGCTATTAATTTTTTAATTTGAAAATGAATACTTAGAAACATAATATTTTTTTCTAAATATAACACCAGAAATATATTGAACATCCTCTAATTGACGGACGTTATATAATCGTTAAACGATTGTTAGTGTTCAGTTTCTTTCTATTTTTTTTAATCTAAAATATATTTCAATCCAAAACTCTAAATTCAATTTGAGAGAGGATAATACATTTAGATTTTTTAAAAAAAAAATTGTGTATGATTTTTTTGGTAAACAATATAATTTTTTTTTTCCAATTAAGTTTAATTTTAATAATAACAATTAAATTAGAACACCTTTTGATGATATCGTAGAAATAGCATCTCTCAATATTCTTAGTGAAAACTCTATTTATATATAAATGGTAGAGGTTGTAACAAGTGACAGTTTGGCAAAGTGGTCTAAGACGTCAGATTTAAGCTATGGTCCGAAAGTACGTGGGTTCAAATCCCACAGCTGTTAGTTATTGTTTTTATTCTTTTTTAATCTGTGTAGCCAGTAATCAGAGCTCCAATTTTTTTCTATTCTGGAAAATTTTTTAATTAATTTTGATCATAATTTATCAAAATCTTTAATTCCAATAGAATTGGTACTGTGGAGTTTACAATTCTTCACTTAATTTTTTGTTCGATTTCTGAGTTTTTGTTTTTTTTTGTTTGGCGTTTATGTTTCGTGTGTGTTAGGGTTGTCGTTATGTCCGACTAATATCGTAGAAGAACTGTTTCGTTGAGTGGGATTGGGGGTTTTATGTGGGATGGCGACGGATCTGTCCGACTACTAATCAAAATTTGTTATAATAATAAAAAAAAATATCACTTCTTTCATCTTTCTTGTTAAAATATGTAGAATTCCCATGATAAATTAATAATTTTTTTTCTTAAAAATATATTTGTCTTTCTTTGATTCTCTATTTTTTTATATAATCTAAGAGATTATATTCTACCTTAGTAACTAAATAATATATTTTCGTTATAGTATAACTCAAGGCTTTAGAATGTGTTACATCGCTTCATCAGGGTTCGAATTTCCCTAAAACCAAAAATCACATTTGTGAGAGCAGCTTGGGCTTGTGTCAAAAGCCTATACAATTAACATGATAGTCTTGCAACAGGCAGTTCAGCTATCCACTAACAAGTCTCGGAAGTCATTCCAAACTTGGAACATGCAGTGTGGTAGCCTAAAGATCTCATGGATCTGAGCCCGCTTGAAACTTATGGTGTCCGTTAAACCATTGAACTTTGAAGAAGTCTACACCGAAACACTTTGGTGTGTTCCTACCAAAGCTGGCTGAATCGGCCAATAGTGTACATAAAAAAAAAGTTTAACTCAAAACATTTAACCATTGAAAAACGTGTAGATTTAATGTAAAATAGTAGAGACATATACACTGTTTAGCAAAAAAAAAAAAAAATTCAAAACCAAATGTGTATAACGTGAAAGTAATAATAGCAAACAACATCAAAAGTGTCTAAATAAGCTCCTAAATCACATACTAAACTTCAAGAAAACTATGATATCCCAATTTTAAGAATATGAATATATATGGAAATATCTATGTCACTAAAGTGTATTTATCTTTTTGGTTACTTGTCCACAGAAAACTTTAAAGTTAAATGTGTTTAAGTTGAAGTTGCATTAAGATGGGTACCTATAAGTGTTTTGGGTATCGTGTGAGTGAAGACAAAACACAGAAAAAGATTGCGTCATAATTTCTGAATCAATATTTCATGATTTTTGAACCTGGACAGATATGGAGCTCATGTGTCGAGAGAGGACGTAAGGGCACACTCATAAAGTTGGTCCAGACGTTACAAGTGATATCAGAGCCAAACCAAGACGATAGTGTGGAGCCACAAAGGCTCACACCATCGGGAATGACAGCCCTGGTGCGCAGCAATGACGTTGGGCTCTGAGTAAAAATGAATTGTAACATTCCGATTTCAGAAATATTTATATATATGTAAAGAGATTTAAAATCATTGATTTGGATACCTATGTTACCAATGTGTACTTGTCTTTTTGGTCATTTGTCATGAACGTATTCCAAAATTAAACGTGTTTGAACTGGAATAGCATTAGAATGGATGATTTACTGGGAAGGGATTTCCATTATAGTGTGAATAAGATCAAAACACAGGAAAAATTGCGTTGTAATTACAAAATCAGTATTTCATGACTTTCAAATCTCTTGTCTTACACATCGACCATCAAACAGGAGTAGAGTCCACTGCTAACACATCAACCGTCACATAAGAATGAAGCCCATTGATAGAGTCGGCTGAAGCATTTCAGAAACCTATCAAAAGAGCATGAAAGTAGTGTTCATAATAAATAGAGAACTAAATTCATTATAAAAATCCAATCAACAGGACGAAAAGCTAAACAAAATGATTTGCTTCAAATATTACACCAATCGAAATTATTTTATAACTTTTTGAAGGAAAAAATCAAACAAGGATCGATCTTGTGTGATATATAGTACTAGATATTAGTACTAATTCTCTTCTTCTTCAGTCCATCTTATTGTTTGAGAGCATCAAGTAGCTTCTTTCATCTCCATATTGTTATGCTTCATATTATCCCGAACAACTTCAAGCTTTTCTTTCAAGGCAATTAGCTCCTCCAAGGTTAGATCTATAGTCTTTTTCTCATTGTAACTTTTAGGGGTCTCCAGTTGTCTATCCAAAAACTAAAATTCAAGAGAGACAAAACTAGTCATTTGTAAATTATATATATAATAAAAGAATAATAGGTTTAGCTTTCTAACTCGAGTTCTCTCACAATTCAACGATAAATGAAATATGTTAATATTAAGATATACTAGTAGGATGATCTCGATAACAAGGAGGTTCAATTGCTTATTATTATTATTATTTTTATCAGTATTACAATTGATTATAAAAATATTGAACATTTTCTAACTGACGGACGTTATGTAATCGTTAAACGATCGTTAGTGTTTAGTTTCTTTCTATTTTTTTTAATCTAAAAAATGTTTCATTCCAAAATTCTAAATTCAATTAGAGAGAGGATAATACATTTATATTTTTTTAAAAAATTGTGTATGATTTTCTTAGTAAACAAAATAAAATTTATTTTTCAATTAGGTTTAATTTAGAATATCAATTAAATTAGAACACCTTTTGATGATATTATAGAAATAGCATGTCTCATTATTCTTAGTGAAACTAATCTCTATTTATATATAAATGGTAGAGATTGTAACAATTGACAGTTTGGCCGAGTGGTCTAAGGCGCCAGATTTAGGCTCTGGTCCGAAAGGGCGTGGGTTCAAATCCCACAGCTGTCAGTTATTGTTTTTGTTCTTCTTAAATCTGTGTAGCCAGTCATCGGGGATTTTTTTAATGTTATTGCTCAATGGGTCTACGTCAAGTCAAGTAAGCATTAGTTTTCGAAAATTATAAATGCTACTGTTAAATGGATCAGGTCAAGGTCAACTTCAAGTAAGCATAGAATCCGACGACATGTTGTCCGGATCAACTATATCATGTAATGGATGATTCCTCGATCCATCCGAAGTCCACCACTGATTTCACTTTACAATATAACATACTTTTTTTTTAATCGCATAAATTTTACTTACCCATCCAATGTAAAAATATAACTAGCAGTTGGTATACAACAAATAATGTCGTGATTGAAATTTGAGATATGACACGCAAAGAAATGGCACTATATCAACAACAACAAATTATTATTCCATGGTTAGAAATGCGATCATCATAGGATTGATATTTCTATCTGAAAACGAATGTCAATATAAAATTTAGGATATAATTTAACTTTTGACTGAAGAATTTCGTATACTCTTTTTTATTCCGGCTTGGGCAAAAGGACAAGTTAAAATGTTTGACATATCAGATTGCTCATAGGAAACACAACTCGTAATGTAACTATCTCACTAAGACAGTCAATTAGGCTTTTGATTCCTCTAGTCAGAACTCATAAGACGTGTAAATAAATTAAATTAAATAACCGGATATATATATATTTTCCTTTAGAGTGGAAAAAGAAAGATGATACTAATTGTTTTGTTAAAAAATTATTAATGGTCAAATGAGCTCAATGGATTCAGTTTCAATGATGCTACTCTTTGACCAAAAGAGGCTTTTCTTTTTCAATTGCCAAAATCGAAATACTTTTCAAACACGCATTGACGCTTATAGTTCCCATTCAACGGAATCTAAATTGAGCAAAATAGTCTACCCAAAAGAAAAAGATGAGTATAGTCTAAACAGACTGTAGAGGGAAGAGCCATATTAATCTTTCAAAGAATATTATATTGATTTTTTCATATGTATTAATCTTTCGAAGAATACTATACATAGTTAGTTCAAACGAGTAGAGAATATAACTGTTTTCGTTCTAGTGATATATATCTAAATTTGAATATAATAAACGTTTGGATGCAGAAGGAAGTGACTGATATATTGTGAGATTAAATGAATGTGATATATGATACAAAACATATATACATTTTAAGCATATATTGAGTGGGAATGCATTTAGTGGCTTTATATGCAACTTGACCTAATTATCAATTATGTGAATTATGAACTATATATATATTGCGTCTTGGCATGTTCACATCCGTGACATGATCCCTTCAATCTATATCTTCTGCGCATATACAGCATATATATATATAAACATATGACCCGTGTGTATATAGTATAGATAATTCTCTCATAATAAATTCTCACCATTTTCAACTCATCTTCTAAACCATGACGTCACTCTCAGAGACCATTTTGATCTTAACTCTCATCATCTTCTTCTTCTTCTCGGGCTTTTCACTTGCGAAACAGAGCTTTAAACCAGAGATTGAAGCTTTACTATCCTTCAAGAATGGCATTTCCAACGACCCTTTGGAGATATTATCGGATTGGACCACCACCGGTTCGATACGACACTGCAATTGGACCGGAATCACTTGCGATCGTACCGGTCACGTTGCCTCGATTTCCTTGCTGGAGAATCAACTTGGAGGTGTTCTGTCTCCAGCCATAGCAAATCTCACCTATCTCCAGGTTCTTGATCTCAGTTCCAATAATTTTTCTGGCGAAATACCGGCTGAAATCGGGAAACTAGGCGAGCTTAACCAGCTCGTTCTGTTCTCAAATTATTTCTCTGGTTCGATTCCTTCTAGCATTTGGGAGCTTAAGAATATTGTGTATCTTGATTTGAGATTGAATTTGTTGAGCGGTGATGTTCCTAAGGCACTCTGCAAAACTAAATCTTTGGAATTAGTAGGACTCGGGAACAACAACTTAACCGGAAATATACCAGAATGCTTAGGAGATTTGGTTCACCTCGACATGTTTGTAGCAGGCCCAAACCGGTTAAGTGGTTCGATTCCGGTATCAATTGGTACTTTGGAAAATTTGTCGGGTTTAGACCTGAATGGTAACCAATTAACCGGTAAAATACCGAGAGAAATAGGAAATCTCTCGAAATTACAGGTTCTTGGTTTATTTGATAACCTGTTAGAAGGAGAAATACCGGCTGAGATCGGAAACTGCACGAGGTTGGTTCAACTTGTCCTGTATAATAACCAGTTAACCGGGAGATTACCAGCTGAATTAGGGAACTTGGTTCAGCTGGAAGAACTCGGGTTATACGGGAACAAACTGAATTCTTCTATTCCATCCTCATTGTTTCGGTTAACGCGGTTAACCAGTTTGGGATTATCAGAAAACCAGTTGGTCGGACCAATTTCGGAAGAGATTGGTTTCCTCAAGTCACTTGAAGTCCTTACGCTTCATTCCAACAACTTAACAGGAGAGTTTCCACAGTCCATCACAAACTTGAGGAACTTGACAGTGATAACGATGGGGTTCAATAACATTTCCGGTGAGCTCCCGGCGGATCTAGGGCTTCTTACAAACCTTCGGAACCTCTCCGCGCACAACAATCTTCTTACCGGACCAATACCTTCTAGCATAAGTAACTGCACCGGTCTTAAAATCTTGGACTTGTCTTACAACCAGATGACTGGCAAGATTCCGAGGGGTTTAGGCCAGACGAATCTTACGTTTGCTTCCCTTGGGGTGAATCAGTTCACCGGCGAAATTCCAGATGATCTATTTAACTGTTCAAACATGGAAACTCTGAATTTGGCGCGGAACAACTTAACAGGAACGTTCAAGCCATTAGTTGCAAAGCTTCAGAAACTCCGGATGTTGCAGCTGTTTTCTAACTCTCTCACTGGAACAATTCCTAGAGAGATTGGGAGTCTGAAGGAGCTGAATCGCTTGCAACTTCACACTAATCATTTCACAGGAAAGATCCCCAAGGAGATAGCAAATCTCACCATGCTTCAGGGGCTTGAGATGGATACAAACGAACTCGAAGGTCCGATTCCTGAAGAAATGTTTGATATGAAGCAACTCTCAGTGCTCGAGCTATCCAACAACAAGTTCTCAGGTCCGATTCCTGAATCGTTCTCGAAGCTCGACGCTCTTACCGACTTGGGTCTTCACGGAAACAAGTTCAACGGGTCTATCCCTACAAGCCTCAAGTCGCTTTCGCATCTCAACACACTCGATATCTCCGACAATCTTCTCACCGGAACTATCCCTAAAGAGCTGATATCTTCGATGAGAAACTTGCAGTTTACCCTCAACTTCTCAAACAATCTACTGACAGGAGCCATTCCCAATGAGCTTGGAAAGCTAGAAATGGTTCAAGAAGTCGACTTTTCGAACAATCTCTTGTCCGGGTCCATTCCAAGATCTTTACAGGCCTGCAAAAACGTGATCTTGCTGGATTTCTCGCGGAACAATCTCTCGGGTCAGATCCCAGGTGAAGTCTTTCAACAAGGAAGCATGGATATGATCAAAAGCTTGAACCTTTCGAGAAACAGTTTCTCTGGTGGAATCCCTGAAAGCTTTGGGAAGATGACGCATTTAGTCTCTCTGGATCTGTCCAGTAACAATCTCACCGGTGAAATTCCCGAGAGTCTTGCCAATCTCTCGACTCTGAAACATCTCAAGCTTGGTTCAAACCACCTCAAAGGCCATGTTCCTGAATCCGGTGTCTTCAAGGACATCAACGCATCTGATATAATGGGAAACACAGATCTCTGCGGCATCAAGAAGCCTCTCAAGCCATGTACGATCAAGAAGAAGTCAAGCCACTTCTCCAAGAGAACTGCAATCATCGTGATTGTTCTTGTTTCAGCAGCAGTTCTTCTCCTTGTACTCCTTCTTGTTCTGATTCTCACCTGTCGCAAGAAGAAGGAGAAAAAGGTTGAAAACTCATCAGAGTCTTCAATGCCGGATTTGGACTCAGCTCTGAAGCTAAAGAGATTCGACCCAAGAGAGCTAGAGCTAGCGACAGATTCTTTCAACAGTGACAACATCATCGGTTCAAGCAGCTTAAGCACAGTGTACAAAGGCCACTTAGAAGATGAAACAGCGATTGCAGTAAAAGTATTGAACCTGAAGCAATTCTCTGCGGAATCAGATAAGTGGTTCTACACAGAAGCCAAAACACTGAGCCAGTTAAAGCATCGGAACCTGGTGAAGATCTTAGGGTTCGCTTGGGAGAGCGGGAAAATGAAGGCGTTGGTGCTTCCATACATGGAGAACGGAAGCTTGGAGGATGCGATTCACGGCTCTGGCTCGCCGATCGGAGCTTTCTCAGAGAGAATCGATCTCTGTGTCGATATCGCGAGCGGAATCGATTATCTTCATTCTGGGTACGGATTCCCAATCGTTCACTGCGATTTGAAGCCGGCGAATATACTCCTCGACGGCGATCGAGTCGCTCACGTCAGCGATTTCGGGACTGCTCGAATTCTAGGGTTACGCGAAGATGGAAGCACCACAGCTTCTACTTCAGCTTTCGAAGGCACAATTGGGTACTTAGCTCCAGGTAAAAAGAAGAAAAATCAAAACTTTAATTAATTTCGCCATTGATTTTACCTGAAAGTGACACACTCTGTTTTTTTTGTTTGTTATGAGCAGAGTTCGCTTATATGAGGAAAGTGACAACGAAAGCCGATGTGTTCAGCTTCGGGATCATAATGATGGAGCTAATGACGAAACAGAGGCCGACTTCGCTTAGCGATAAAGAAACAGAAGGGATGACTCTGCGTGAATTGGTGGAGAAATCGATTGGAGAAGGAACAGAAGGGATCAGTAGGGTTCTTGATTCGGAACTTGGGGATAGTATCGTTTCACGGAAACAGGAAGAAGCCATTGAAGATCTGTTGAAGCTTTGTCTGTTCTGTACGAGCTCTAGACCTGAAGATCGACCTGATATGAATGAGATTCTTACACATCTGATGAAACTCAGAGGAAAGACGATCTCAGTTAATGATGATCCAGAAGTTTAGCAGCAAGCTACGAGTAGTTGAAGTTGAAGCAATTGGAATTTTCTTTCTATTTTTAAGAAAATGTAAAATGTATAACCATTCTGATTTTACTATTTTATGTACTTTTTTCTTTTTCGTTTTTAAGAGATCAAGTAATCTGGAGTGGATTTAATCTCAGTGTTACTGTTACCGTCTTCGGTGGTGTTGTTTGTAGCTTCCTGTTGATTCGATTTTGTTTAGCATCGTATAGTTGAAGTATTTACAAATGTGTGAGATTTGCTTTCCGTGAAAAAGAACTTTAGAATTTCTCATCCACAGTGAAGAAGAACTCCATCTTAGTATTTCTAGTCCCATTATTAGGTATGAATAAAATTGTTCATTAGATGATTTTAAGTTCTGCTTTTGATCCAATTAGTAGTGCCAAACTGCCAATCCTATCCACTTTCTTTTGTTTCAAAAGAAATAGTCTATTCCAATTCATCTAGGTTCAATATGTCTATTGAAACCATTTCAACGAAAAAACAAAAACTGCTCCAAAAATACGATAATAAATGGACAAAAAATTTAAGAGGAATACAGTAGGACAACTATATGAGTACCAAAAGGTAGTGGATGATGGCTTTCTCCAAATTGTGGCTTTCATTTGTTGTGCCATAAATAAACAAAGCATACAATAGTTGCTCCTTAAGAGCTTTCTTCACATACTAAGTCTTTCCCATGTTCATTAAAACATTCTACAAAATTAAAACAAACAAGACCATAAAACTTGGAGAAAAAAATGGAACATACGCACGAATTTACTATCCAAAAATTAGAAGTGAACATACTTTGGATTCTTTTTTTGTCTTTCTTGTTGTATTCAGTGGGCTATCACATGACAAATCAAGAAAGAGAGTGATTGAGTGAAAATATGGAAAACAAAAATTCTAACAACAAAATCCAAAAGTGATTGGAAAAATCTTGAACTGAGTTTGACCATATTGAGCGCTTAGCAGAGTTGAAATGCGTCCAAGTTCTTATTGATGCTGCATTGCTGGCTACGGGAGGAAAGAGTGTGTAGACCTTCTCCGAGAGAATGATGCTGCAATATACATCTAACGATAGTATTATACTTGTTAAGAAACGACTCTATTTAATGTGTATTCCGACTAACTTTGAGAAATTGTTTGAGAACGCATTTCTTTGAAGCTTGGATTTGTAAGAAAGTACCTAAGCTTATTTTTTCTTTAAGGGATTTAAAAATATAAATTTTTTATTTTAAGAACTCTTAATAAGATTCTACTAATGGAAGAGAAGAAAAACAAAACATTTTACAAAAGTTCTTTAAATAAGATGATAAAAAATTTATATTAATTTTTTTGTTAAAAACCCCAATTGAAATTCTACCAATAAAGATGATATTATAATTGCTATCTTATATGGATTCCCCATGATTATCATAATTCTTCAAAGCTTTTTGAGAACATGTTTTACTTTCATTGCTTGTATTCAAAATACTTTCATGGCGTTAGGACATCCACAACAGTAAAATTCTTAAAATAAGTATCTTAACTATTATTATTTTATCATCTAAACATATATAATTAAATTTTAATATTTAAAGAAAAAGTAACCAATGAAAACAAAACAACTATAAAAGTGAGTATTTTGAAAACTTAGAATGGGATTTTATTTAGTATATTTTAGAAACTTATCTCTCTTGTTTTTTCTATTGATTAATATTTTTTCTTATTTTTAATACTAAGATATCCTACTAACATTTGTAATCTGAAAACTTACAAGCTTTCTTAATAGAAGGATCATGTGCTATTTTCTATATATTTTTTAAACAGGAAAGCTATTAAAATGAAGGGGCAATTGGCAAACTACCCTAATTAACATTTGTAATCTGAAAAGTACACTGTTTTAATTTTTTTATAACTAAATTTATTGATATATAAAAATACAATTTTAATCAGATTTTAGTAATACATATTTTTATAAATTAAAATTAAAATCGAAAATTATATATATTAGAGATATTTCATTATATAAATTTTAGGATTTTTACTCAATTTTATATTTCTATAAATCTTTTTAATTAGATAAATCTTACTTCAGATAAAACTTAATAATTGAGAACTGCATATACAATATAAAACTAGTTTTTAAGTAGAATAATCTACAGATAAGTATAGAATATATTAAAAACTTAGGATTCATTTATTCCTTTTTCCCTATCAAAAATATATTTTAGTACAATATTCTATAGATTAATATAAAATTGAGATTTTAGAATTTATAAATAAAGTAAAATCTAAATAGATATTATTTAGTTTTAAAATGTTATTTATTTTGATTTTTTAAAATAAATTTTAAATTATAAGAATTCAAAATAAGTTAATCTAGTCTATTATTAATTTTAATTCTTTTTTTTTAAATTAGAAAGGTGTAATTTTCAAATTCTAAACTATTTTTGGTGTATTTTCCCAAATTTTCTCTAAAATGAATAATGATTACTGTAGTTTTCCAAAAATATATTTTTGCGATTTTTAGATATACAAATCTTTATGTGTTTTAAAAAAAATATATATGAAAAATGATTAGGGTAAATACGGTATAAAGATTTTTGAAATCAAAATACTTCATACTGCATCAGGCATTCTCTCATCTGAGGGAGGAGATTCGTGTTCCAACAGAGGAATGAGTAAATATTCTTCTCCCGGTCACAATCCGGAGGAAGCCATAATCATCTCTACGAACACCGTTAGAATCCTGGACTTCCAGAAAACAAACTATATCACACACACCATATCTGGTAGATATCATAAGATGAGCGCTACGCCAAACATAAGCCATCTCAAAGCTTAATGGAACTGTTTGTTCAGTTTGCGTTGTATAATGTTGGGCTTAGCCCATTAAACGTATGGCTCGTGCTCTGTTCTTAATCTTTTTGTAGCAAGCCTGTTCATGTACGTGTTAAAGCTTTCCTCTCTTTGGGAGAGAATTTCTGCACTTTCCTTCCCGAGAGGGAAGAAATTTTGCCCATCAATTTCCGGTTCTTTGAGAGCTGGTCCTTTCATTGTTCTCACTGTTATATTTTTGGCATGTTTATGGTCAAAAGAAGCAACCGAGTTCGTTTTATCGAATGTTGGAGGTAGAATTTGTCATTCAACGTCACAATAGCTTGTGACTAAGGTTTACTCTTCTGGGTTTGCCAGAATTCTTCATCGACGCATCTAACATTTGGTTTGGATCTGCTGTCAGTCTTCTCTGAAGTCCTCCATGACGATCTATCTTTTCTATGCTTTAATATGTTTAAAATGTATTGTTATGTTTCAAGTGGATGCTTAATTCCCTCTATTTGGTGTATTTTGGAAGTTTAATGGATGAAAGAAACTGCTGAACAAAAAAAAAAAAAAAAAAAGGAGAGCAGAGGAAATGATGAGGAGAAACAGAGAGTTCACGATGAAAGGAGAGAGCTGTGAAAACCAATTGTGAAGCCCATATGAGAGAGTAAATGGACACCGGTAAGTAGAAGTAAACCGAACGAGGACAATATGTGGTAAATTGAGCAAATGCTTATAATGTGTCTGAGGTACTCAGTGAATATTGTATAACTCTACTAAAAATTATCCAAATAAGTTCAGACACATATAGATTCACATAGATATGCCAAGAAATCCAAGCTTGTCTTGTAATTCTTCAAGAACTCAGTAGGCCTCACAGGTTTGACCTTCTGTAATTCTGAAAGAAGTTCATTAAAGAAATCACACACAATATACATAAGAAACAAGGCTAGACAAGAGTGCTTTTTCTAGATAGACGAATTCCAACTAGAGGTAGACATCAAAACTGGTGATTTAAGCTAGAGAACCATACTACCAACGAGACATTCACATAGATAGTATCAAAGAAAAAATTGATGAACAGAGCTTATTCGTGAGTCCAAATCTAAAAGAAAGGTTAAACCCAAAACTCGACCATGTTGTCACTTGCCACGGATTACAGCATTGGGTTCGCCTTGGACAACCATGTACTTGGCTCCTGCTAGAAACAACACTGTGGGTGCTAAGTGACCCGGTTCGAAATCTTTCATTATATCATTGAACTCCTGTGTCTTGAACTGAGGGAAGTTGTTGCTCTCAGCCCAAACGCTACCGTCATGACCAACGATTGTGGCGGCGGTTAAGTGATGACCCTGACCATCTCCGACATCATACATCAAATGCTCATTGACGTAAGTTTGCCACGACATCTTCTCCCATCTTCTTCTCTCCTTGGTTTTCTCTCTGCGTTATGTTTATGTGTGCAGATGTTTTAAGTATTGTATGCATTTTTCTTAGTCAATGATGAATAATTATAAACTTCAAAAAATCAATTAAATTTCTATTAGTATAAAATTCTAGTAAATTGTTAATCACAAAAAAATGATGTATTTATAATGATGTCTACTTAATATGTGTGAAAATTGTAAAACATCTATCAATTAAAAGCAGGAGTATATATTTTGTTCCTCATAATGAATTCTTTCCTGGACCCACTCAGTGAACCGTCGGTTCTAGGATCTTTGTCTAAATTTTAAATGTGAATGTTATCTTCTTGTACGTATCAGGTTGAGTATAACCTCCAAGCTGCTTCTGTCTGAACACTCTTGTTTCTTGTATTGAACTTTTCTGTTTAACTTTTATAACAAAGACAAAATACAAACAATAGCACACAACTAAGCTCATTATATAAATGGCATATGCATTAGGTTACATATTCTTATTGCGGATTATTTCGAATCATATCCATCTCTATGCTTTTCTTGCTACGGACGTCTTGTTGTTCTGTGTGTCTATCTTCTTTGTATGGTGATGAAACAGGTAGATCAGGAACATCTTCAAGGTTCTTGAACTTCTTGTCATCGAGATAATGCTGATAAGCAAATGAAACGAAGCCCCAAATAGCTATAATGATGGAGAAGACTTTCGTACCCTCCATTGTATCATGAAACACTATGACTGCTAATATCGGAACAATAGGCAATCCCACAGCGGTTATAGCATTGGAGAACACAGAAGATGACTCAAAGATCAATCCCACCATACCAATTGTGTAGCCATGTAATAGCTGTGAAGACCAGAGTCATTACATATGAAACCTCACCGAGTTTGTAGCTTTTCATCTCACCGGTTAAAGTTTTCCACTCACCGCTTGCGAAAAGTCCAACAAGAAGCGCACAGGTTGCAACTAAAGACTGATAGAAAACCATTTCAGTGACTACTGAAAACGTATTCTCCTTCAGAACTTTTCGGAGTATGAGCTGCACGAGAGACAGCAACAGTCCAGTGCCAGCAGCAGAAGCAACGGTACATAGGAAGCCTATTGCGTATTTGCCACTAGAGACTTTTGTGGCTTGTGATTCGTTGTTGAAGACAAGGAGGGAAGAGGAAATGATGAGGAGAAACAGAGAGTTCACTATGAAAGGAGTGAACTTTTGAGAGTTGAGGATGTATGAGAAGAGAGCTGTGAAAACCAGTTGTGAAGCCCATATGAGAGAGTAAGTAGAAACTGGTAAGTAGAGCAAACCGAATGAGGAAAGGTAACAGTTAGCTGATACTAATAGACCAATGCCGATGTAGACTGGTCCAATGGTTGTGAAAGAAGACAAATGTTTGGGACTTGTGTTTGTTGTTGTGGTTGAAAAGAAGCGAAACAGAACAAGAAAAGGGAAACCGATAAGTTGAACTAAAGATCCCATCCACTTGCTTTTTCCACCGTTTTCATAGTATAATCTACCGAGAATTGTAGCTGTTGCTTGGCAGGAGAGAACAAAAAATGAATAAACGAAGATATGGAGCCATCTCTTACGATTCTTGGATATAGGTACTGATGATGGTGGTGATTCACTATCCATGATGATCTGATCTTTTGAGTTTGGTTTGGTTAGGTGTTCTGCTTACCTTAGAAAGATAAAGAGAACACATTTATGATAATATTTCACATGTTTTCTGTAACAATGAATTTGGAGTTATTCATATTTTGCATGTTGGATCTTACCCACTGCCCACTGCCACATATTTATAGTGAAAGATAGTGCATGTTGACAGCATTATATTTATAAAATATGTGTGCTAAATGTAAAAATGGATCACAAAGATCCAAAATTGAGCAAATCAGCTCTGTGTGAGTTTTATCTGAAGTTTCCGTTATATATTTTCTTGAAATGGTTTCTGCGGAATTATCAATGGTACAAGAAGAAGTCAAGAAGATTTAACAACTCTCGCTAATTTCCTCTAGCACTTTTATATTGCAATGTCATTTCTAATCTTCCGATTAGTTGTAAAGTGTGTAACATTGTTATAATTCAGGGAAAACCAAAAAAAAAAGACTTTAATGTGACTGGATTATGAAAATGAGATCATCTACATAGACTGGCAGAACCTATTAACTAGGTTCTTAAATAGATGCTCCTATACTCTGTTTCACAATTGAAGTGGAACTAAAATAAGATGGTGTATGAGATATTTCGATTACCTAAAAACATATATCCATCTGTTTAAGAAAGTGAATCACAGTCAAAGATTCAAAGCGACATCATGCGTGGACTTGGGGCTATAGGAAGATAAAATCAGTAGTTTCTTGAGTGACCCTCCACGTAATCTGCAAAGAAAAGAGTCAGTGATGTATTACTCAAAATAGTTTTCTAATGGAGTTTTGAAAATAACAATTGTGTTCTTCTGTTCAGCTTAGGCGTAATGCTTACCCGAATTTGTCTACTGCTTCTCTCTGTCTCTACACTCTTCACCCTGTTCAGTCTCATCAACCACATTGGCCTCACAAAGACGTGCAAGAGTATTTGGACTACCAAGTCGGTTCTCCGATGATGAACACTTCTCAAAGAGTCGTATACCCCATCCTTTCATTTTGCAGGAAGCATCACAAGAGAAACGAAACCGTACATCCACTTCAGTTGGAAGATCATCCTGAACCTTTAGAGGGATACGACAGTCAAACATAAACAGATGACTACCGATCTGATTCACCGAAAAGTACTCTTTCTGGTAAGAGGAACCAAGGCGGTTCCCGAGTCTGCCTTTGAACCGACATTGTACGTTGATCCATACGCCGTTGACACCAAATGCGGACAAGGAGTTGATAGCAAACACAGCACCAGCTCTAAACCTGAGGAATGGCGGAGGAATGGTGGTCTGAAGCAGAGAGATGGCCAAAGAGTTCCCATTAGTTCTGTGAGTGAAGTATAAAGGCAACTTTTCACCAGACAAGATGAGTTTCTCAAAAGAGAGTTGTTGAAGGAGAGCTTCTTTATCCAAGTTGAAGCAGTTGACAAAACTGAAATGGACTTTAGGGACATGATAATATGGACGAGAAGAGGAGGCTTCGTTGGAGAGCTGTAACTCGGTGTCAGTAATCTCTCTTTCCAACGCCATACCACTTGTGAATCCGCCGTTCCAATCAGCACCGGTCAATGTACCGCAATGTGAGAAGTCGACCAGCTCGAGATGTTTCAGTTTAGAAAGGTTGATGTATACATATTCCAACTCACTGCATCTTTGCATGATTAGGTATTTGAGCTTAGTGAAATTCTCAATCCACCAAGGAACCTCTTCTATTGCTGTTTCTTCTAGATACAGAGATGAGATGTTTCTTGAGATATCAGGGAAGGTCTTCAACCGCGAGCATCCGCTGAAATTGAGTCGTTCCAGAGATTCAAGGTTGATTCCAGTTGGAAGAATCTCAAGATTTATGCATCTTGTAATCCTCAAATCCGTTAGTTTGTTGAGATTGTGGATAGAGAAAGGAAGCTCCACCATATTTGGAATATCCGAGAGAAACAATACTGTCAAAGAGGTAGGCAGCGTCGTTCCCATGGATATAAGCTGCTGAACCAAAAGCAATGTAGAGATGTTATAAGAAATTACATCAGATATATGTCCTGTTTAAATAAACATACTCCCTCTATTTCATAAAAAATAGTCTTTTAATGTTTCAGTTTTTCTCATTATTATGCATGCACATTTTTTTACGTATTAAACACTTTCCCATAGCTGTGAACCAATAGTAATACTAATATCTTCATGAATACAGTATAAAAACTTAGATAAACTTAGAACAAACCTAAAACACTGCACCTATCAAATTCGACCTAGCGACAATGATATATTTCTTAACAAAAAGTAACTAGTAAAAGAGTTTTAAGTAAACGTTAGTTTTTGAATTACATACCTGCATGCCTCCCCAAAGTTTCTCAATTTGTAAGTTTTCCATGCAAAAGTCTGCAACGTTCTCGAGACACAAACGTGAACGTTCCAAGAGATTGAGGCGTTTGGGAGATTCGAGGTTAATGCCGGTTGGTCGAGTTGCCAGGTTGTTGCATTCCAATATCTTTGTCAGATGATTGAATTTTTGAATATGGGAAGGAAGCTGAACCCAACTCAAACGATACGCAACATAGATTTTCTCTAGACTGGTGGCCATGGAAAGATCTGGGATTTCTTTTAGGTTTTCAGATCCCCACAGGTTCATCTCCTTGAGATATCTAAGCTTCTGCATGTACTCAACAAACACGGCGCAAAGTAGAAGTTACAAATCGTGTCACGCAAGCAATAAAAACAATCATTCTAAACAAGTAATTAAATACCATAGCATATATTCTCAAAACTTACACGAGGGCCTTCCCACAACTTTTTGAGTTTGCTATTCTGCATTTTGAACTTGACGAGGTTGTCAGGACGGAACTTAGAAGGCATGCTTTTCATGGGATATCCGTGCCAACACAATAATCTGAGTTTAGGTGGCAAATAGTCAAAACTATCAGGTAAGTGCAATCTGCCCTCCTTCTCGAGCGAGTAATTACTCGTGAAAATCTTTAGGAATTGGAGGTTACGCATCTTTTCAAAGGCACTCTCATGGATAACGAACTCATCGTCGATCTCATCTATATTTAAAGATATACCCAAAATGTTTTGAGTACCCTGAAAATTACAAAATGCCAATAAGAAGGAGTTTATCATTATTCATTATAGCTTTAACAACTGCCTACAAGGCTACAGCATATCTTTTAAAAATCTAATAGAGTGTGAGATCTATGAAAAAAACTTACAATGTTTTCTTCAAGTACATCGCGTACATCCGCCGAATCCATTAGGAACTCTCGTTTTCCAGGATTTTGGGACTGATCACGGACGACCTCTTTACCCAATTTTTGTAACAAAGTGTGCATCTCCACAATACCCAATCTCACACGCACAAGTGACTTGTCAACTAAGTTTGTAAGCCCAGTATCAAAATCCAAGCGGCTATGGGCGAGCAGCAGCCTGATGTCATTAACTTTCTCGAAATTGAAGAGACATGCTATGTGGCGAAATATCGCTTTATCTTGACTACTTAACCTATCATAGCCGACCCTCAGTATCCTCTCAGTAGTCCCATCTAGACCATTCTGAAGCCTTGGCATCATATCCATCCACCCCTTCTTGTCCTCTAGCCGCAGAGACGAACCCAAAACTGCAAGACTAATGGGAAGGTTACCAGAAATTCTTGCAACTTCAACAGCGAGCTCTTGGAAACCTTCTGGTGGATTGCTTTGATTGAAAGCAGATCTACATAACATCTCAAGAGCGAGCTCTTCAGATGGGAGACCGACCTCGTAAATATCATCAATCCCATGGACCCTTAAAAAATGCTTATCTTTCGTATTCACGACGATTCTGCTCCCACTTCCAAACCATTGAGTTTGACCCACCAAGGCATCCAGCACCACTTGATCATCCAAATCATCAATGAAAATAAGAACTTTCCGGTGCTTTAGCCTCTCGCTCACTGCACCTAAGTGATCTACCGGCACGCTCTCTCTATTCAATAGTTTAGAGAGAAATGCTTCTTGTAACCGCAACTTTAAGCCGTACTCGTCCGTGTTGTATTCACTATAGTTTGCCTTAATATTCCCTACGAAAGCCCTGCCTATAAAAACACTACCTTGGAATTGACCACAGAGTATACGAAACAAAGCTCTTGCAATTGTAGTCTTGCCAATTCCGGAGGGACCCCAGATCCCAACCATCTTCGCTTCTTCGGATTCCAATTTCAACAACAACTTCATCTTTGTGATATGATCTTCGAGACCAACCAAATCCTCAAAATCCCTTGATGGAGTTACACTCAATTTACTCAAAACATCATCGACGATTGTTTCAATCATTGTAGCTTCGCCATCGCTAAAGAGAAGAAAGATCGATGCGCAAACATGAAACAACAAATAATGTCAGGTAAAATCATTTATCCAAGATATATATATAAACACAAGTACAAAAAAGATTCGTACCAGTTCTGAGAATGATATCCGACGATATTAGCAACATCGGTCAACCCTTTCTGCCATCGATTTTTAACTTCCTTTGTCACCTTCTTGCAAGTCTTGTCGAAGACCTTTCCAAAGTCTCCGGTCTGTTTCCTCACATCGGAAGGATCCACACCGTAGAAAACAGGTATCACCTTTTGACCAAACTCTTCCTTGCACTTCAAGATCTCGAGCAACTCGTTAAGGCACCAGCTTGAAGAGGCGTAGCTTCTGGAGAAGACGACCACAGCGATCCTCGAATCCCTGATCGCGTGTACAAGCTCGGGCCAGATGGATTGGCTTTTCTCTATTTCATTGTCTTTGAAAGCAATGATACCCTTCCACTCAAGTTCCTTGATAAAGTGGCTGAGGAAGTTTTTGCGGATATCTTCTCCGCTGAAGCTCGGGAAGACATGGTATCGTTTGAGAGAAGAGGAGGACGAAGAAGAAGATGAAGAAGAAGCCATAGGAGGTAACTGATTTCAGAGGAACAAATACTTCGACGACTGAGAGTCTGAGAAGAAAATCAGAGGAGAGAATGTAGGTAGGCATAGCCTCTCTGTCGGTCTGACTTGTACGACTAAAGCAATTTCACCATTGTTTCTAATGCAACTTGACGGATGTTTCCTATTCGTTGACTATATCAAGGCCACACAGTATTTTTTGTTTATTTTACATTACATTTACATTTGTTTATTTTGTTTCACCTACAAGTATATTGCAAAGGCAAAGCAAGTGTTGTGGTTTGTGCCCATTATTACTGAAAACAAATACAGAATCAAAATACATAATTCTTTTTTTTTCTTTGCAATTTGATTAATACTTTTAACATCACTATACATTTTTCGAGGGACCACACGGTTTGTTCGCTTAATGCTTACAAAACAAATCTAAAGAAACTAGATATGTAAAAAAAAGTTGAAAACAATCATCACATGGCAACAGAGCAAAGCAGAGTTGGTTTTTGAGATTCTCGAGTCTTGGCTTTGTTGAACAAACTCTGAAGCAGGAATGTGCACAAGAATATGATCCACAAAGCTTAACTCGTCTTATCTTTTTTTTTTTGCTTTTGCTTTGATGAGACTCCAATGAAGAAACACAAAGAACAACACTTTTTTATGCCTGTAAATGATAGATTTCAACAGAATTTTTAACTTACGCTTTCGATGAGAAAATGACAATGAGAAGAAGATATGGGGAACTCACGGGTCTTAGCGATGAATCTGAAGAAGAACGAATGAGAAGCAATAGAGGGGAAGAGCGATGGCGATCCCAGCTATGAAGTTAGAGAAGAGCCGCTTGTTGTCTTTTGTTGGTACGAAAACTGTCTTGAGTGTGTTGGTTAGTTCAAAGAGACGGTGAGATACCTGGAGTCAGAAAAAAGAACACAGAGATGATTCAGAAAGTTTGCTAATAGAAAAAGATGGTGAAAAAGTTGTTCTTGTTTCTTACAAGGACGTATATAGCGGTTGTGAGCATGAAATTGAGCATAGGGTATCCCGGAATTATAGAGAGAAGCCATTTTGGTTGACCATCAGGCATGTTTGATCTGAAAGTTGGTGTGTTTGGTCAACAAGAGATCGAACCAAGTTTCCGTGAAAACAAGATTTTAAGTTGCGGAAAACAAACCTTAGCCATATATGAAACTGGGAAATGTAAGTTTCTAGAGTGATCTTGCCGAGCCACCTGCACAGGGAAATGTCAAATGTATTTCGTGGAAATGCGATGAGCATATCAAAACCGGGAATTGGCTTAAAGGCAAATGCGTGTTTACTCACGCAAAGAGAGTCAAAGAGACACTACGAAGCTGGTGGGTGAAATTCCGAAGGGAAATGTAAACACTGGATCCAGGAAACCAAAATGACGAGTCATGATTCAGTTTTCAGCAAGTAAGATAAGAGATGGATATACAGAAGAACGAGAGGATTTATGCACATACGTTATTGGGATCCAAGATGTGTATGGGTGATACATGTTGTAACTTGTCTTGTCCAGCTTGTAGATACATTCATACCACACGTAGCCAACCTAAAATGTGAGCAAATGGGAAACAGATATCAATGCGTGTAACTGGATGATGCAATGATGCAATCAATAATTTAAAAGACGACTGAAATTACTTACAAACACGGTAATGGTAACTATGGCGGTCTTAACTGATAGTCTTTTCTTCGTTTCACAATCCTCTAGCTTCTCCATCCATCTCTCTACCTAGAGAATGATCTCAAGTTTTGAAATTTATTACATCAACACAGCAAAAGAAAGAAAAAAAAAACTGCAAGTGTGTCTATGTTTAAGAACTTACAGTTGGATGAAAATAAGCATAAATCATTCCAATGATCCATATGTAGCGATCAAGGCCTGATCTGAAGTGCCACTCATGTAATCGATTAAGATCGGGCTTCGCAGGGTCACTGTAACCTGCATTTATTCACATGAAATTTCCAGATATTAAAAACCCCTTCCGTTTCCATGCTTCACTCCATAATAGAGAATATGATCAGATCCAGAGAAGTTAACCACCTAGCAAGAATGTTAACGGACTCCAGAATATTTCAAAAGCTCCAGGAATTTCCCACAACAAAAAGACAACGAGGAAACATGAAAATATCTTCAAAGCCATCACTGATCCAACTTCATTGTACTTGCTGAAGATACCCAGAGCTCCGTACACCATAAGGGTGAAAAGAGTGTGCATTGGACAGATGTAATACAACATATAGTCATTGTTGAGAACAATACAGCAAAATGCTACAAAGAAGTTCAGCCTCCACATCATCTGTAAAGGAACAATATTTTAGATGTGGAAGTACAATGACGAGAGTTTTAGTCATTGAATAAATTGTATCACCTGCGCAAAACGTGCAACCGAGAAATCCTTTCTGATATAGTAGTACGAGAAGTTTCCAAAACCAGTCATCCAGACATAAGCAGCGATAAAGATACGGATTGCGTTGTATATCTCAGCAGCAGCAAAATAGTGATACATTAAGAACAAAACCTGTTAAAAAGTAAGACATGAGAACCATATGTAGAGAAGAGCAAGTCAATGATCGTTTTGCCAATAGTCAAGAGAAACTTGCCTGCATCCATCCTTTCCACTCTTCGGTCTGGTGGCGATTAAGGTAAAGAATGGATTTCCCATTTATGGGTGACTTGTCATTGTGCTTTCTGAGAGATGTCATGGCTGATACTATGATGAGAAGAACGTAGAGAAAAAGGAAAAGGTCGCGGTTGTAGTTCTGTCAAATGAAACCAAGTCCTTATGAGCAAAAGTTTTCAAATATTTGAAGTAGATATCCTTTCATGGTATTTAAAATACAGAACCGTTGAAAGATATGGGTACCTTGGTTGAATCCCCAAGCAGTTCCGTGCGGTCACAGATATAGAAATATATTAAGATTGCCCCAAACTCCGACCTAGGAATGATTATGAATGTTAGCAGAAGGATAACGAACAGAGATATTATCACTTCTTGAGGTTAGTTTCACTTACATTGCTCTCAAGGTTGCTCGGTGTTCCAGCAAAAACGAATCTTCCATACTCAAAAACCTGTGATTCGATCAATCATAGAAACCCTTGCATGAGAGAACTCCTGAAGAATCATAATAAACAAACTAAACAAGATATGAGCTGTAAAAACCAACCTGATTATGTTTGTTCTGATGGATGAATTATGAAATCTTACAGATGCCGATCGGGAAAGACCTCCCTCCAATAGTTCAGCTTTGTCATCGTCTTTCTCTGCTACGCCTCCCGATTCAACCAGATGATTATCCGAGTGACTGCACCAGAAGAACGCAACTCCCACTATCAGTGCTAAAAGCACAACAGAGCGTGCTTCGCAGCCTAAAGATCTACTACGTTACTGAGAGTACAATATTGCAGAAACTTACGGTTTCAAAGGAACCAACGATTTCCTGTACTCAAGTAGCTCCGAGTAAATCCAACCAATAAATACTGGGATTACTCCAAGTAGAAAAGATACCTACAAAGACGTTTCACTCAAAGGTTAAATCTTGCAATTGCAAATTGAGGTACAGTATCCAACCAACTCTGAAATCATTCAAAGCTACAAATAAAGGCTCGATTTTCATGCAATTGCTAGATCTCAACTTGACCATTTAGTATTTGTGATCCATAATTGACAGATTTAGGCTGAATTTATGATTGAAAATCACTTTCTTAGGGTCTCTCACACTAAAAATGGCGTCTTTCACGAAATCTGTCATAATCCCTTCGAGTTAAAGTCATTCAATTCCAGATATTCAACTCCACATGCAAATTTATAGGAACAATAGTACTCTTATATAAATGGTGCTGACAATTTTTAACCTTGTCAACTAAATCAACCTGAATCGACTCTGCATTGAATCGAAATTCCAGAAGAAAAAAATTTGAATGCAAGTGTAAAGTTTATCGAGATATTGTACCTGGCCCGGCGTAATCGGTCCCGGATCCACCATTTTCAGGGATCGCTATGATTACTCCGAGCTGCAGAAGACACCAATGAGGAACGAAATTTAGATAACGAATTGAAAATCGACAATGCGCAGTCGACCGAGGAATTGAGAAGAAACCATCCTGAAACTCGGAAATATTTTCAGAAAGGGTCTCGGAGATTTGAAATTACCTGAGATCGAGACGTTAGCTGAGGCAAATTCGACAACGAAGACGAAGAGGAAGAAGAAGGTGATGATGATGAGATGATATCGAGAGAAAGTGATCTCTAGCAGACGATCATTAATAAATATCTGAGTGGTAGAGAGAGAGATGTGAAAGTGTTTGCTTGGAGAAGAGAGAAAGACGTCAGGCGAGCCGTCGTTTTCGATCGCCGGCGATTGATTTTCCGAGCGATTGCACTCTCTGGTCGTTGCGGTTCGGCGTACTGGTTAGCGACAGTGACTTGACAATAGATATCATTATAAAGCACCTAGTATTTATTTTAAATTATAAAATAGTAGAATTGTCGAATGATTTCCCATGATAATTATAAAACAATAAAAATTGATTTTAATAGATTAATAACGTTTGTTTTTAATATAATCACTTTTTAAAAATATAGACTATACTGAGTGATAAATTTTAATAAAATTATATTTTGAAAATTTAAAAATATAGTATAATTAAAAAGAAAATGATTAATTTAGGGAATTATTATAAAATTTCATAATTTAATCAAATTTAAACTTTCAAAAATAGCATGAATTATTGTATGGAAATAACTTTTCACCCTAAATATATATTATAAACAAAACTAAAACATTATGTTTAGTTTTACGATTTCTAATTTAAGGTTTCATTTTCTTTATTAAAAATGAGTTTTCAATTATTTTGATATTGAAATTTATGATATTATTGGAACTCAGTGAGGCTAGTTTTAGTATTAAAAAAACTTTTAAATATGCTATGTCAGATAATTATCCAATGATTTAGCGTAATTTATTTTAATAACGTGGACAAGAGTGTAGTGCGTATATATTAGTTAAACTATTGTGGTTTGTGGACTTGTCAAGCAACTAACCGGTCACATCCCTTACATGATACGCCATATTGTGTCCGTGATATTAACAGATAGTATTTAATTGTATCCCGTACAAACTCCTCTTTTAGGTTGGTTCCTTAATTCTTACTTGAGAGAATTTCATATTCGGATCTCATTATTTTGAAGATTGATTAGATTAAATAATGAATGTAACGGTCGGTCACATGAAGAGAGACGTATGAAAGGAATTACACCCCAATTATTTGTTAAGATGAATGCATGGTTTGATACGAATTCGAATTCAATCATATCATCATATATAGCCTGACAAATATGCTAAGTTTTGATGTATGTACAGTATGGTGTAACAACAACAACAAAACTTTGCCATGACAATAGAAGAAAAAGGAAATCGGTAATTAAGAAGATTTAAATATTGATCGTTGCCGAAATTATAATAATCTTTGACTGTGTTGTATAAGTAATTAATAACCAAAAATTATATTTTTTTTCTAAAAAGGGGGAGAAAGGTATTTTAGAATACCTCATTTGGGTGGGGGATCGCTGGGTAATGGTCGGAAACACTCTCTCAGTTAAGAGAGAGAGACTCACCACCTCTCTCGAGAGATGGTGTTACAAAGTGCTAACTTATTCGATCGAACCCGTTTGGTGCTAGCTCACACTGCCACTTGCTCGCTAACACCACCGAGCCACTCGAACAGTTGCAGTGATGTTATCAGCTTACTCTTATTTAACCTTTCATTTCCTTTCTTTGCGGCGTTTCTCATCTTCAAGTCATGTAAGGCATTAGCCATTTACTCAGTAACTGTTGACATGCGTCTTAATATGTTGTTTAGCAATATCCATGAGTAATTAGCAATTATCATTCTCCACATTCATAGTATAATTTGAAATGATGGTTTCGTTTAATCCACAGAATAATTTTGGTGCTCGTACAAAGTTTTTTTTTGCTTCGCGTAGAAGATCCGCATTTTAAAAATAAATAGTGTTTACAAAGTGTAATACCTCAATGATTTGTTGAGATGAGTGCGTGGTTTGGTACAAATCGAATTCAATCTCATATGTATAACATATACGTTAGAAAGTACAAAATGCTCATCCAGAGTTCGTTTATACATTATCTATTTTAGGTGAGGTGGTCAAGCATAGTTAAGTCTGATATAACTTTCTAGTCTAAATTTAGTTTCAATACCCAAAAAGGTTTAATTTGCTTTGTGTTCCACTATTTATAGATACGAAGGTGTGTATGTCCTTTTCCTCTTTAGGCAATCTATATATAAAGCAAGTAACGAAAGAGAGATGAGAGATCCCATCAAGGATCTAATTATAGTATTCAAAATAAATTTATTTTAATAACTCGAAGAGACTCCATATCCATATGTCTAACATTTCTACATTATGTATCCTATATATAGTCTCAAAAATATATATATACATGCAAAAAAAAAGTAAAAAAAAAAGAACACCATCACTTATTATGCATCCGAATTGTTTCTATATGATAGCATAACTATAACCATATCATCAAGGTTCTTGCTTGAAGAAAACCGAAGGAAACATCTCCTTCAAAAGTTCATAGTCACTATCATGGTGAAATTCTGGGTTCTGTTGTTGATGATAGTTAGGGTTTACATTCACAGTAGCGTATGGCGCACGGAAGAGATCGTCATGCGAAAAGCTTCTTGGAGTATTGATGATGAAATCGGGAACTGGAGATAAAGATGATGAGTTGTAATCAGCAGCGGCGGGTCCAGCGAACATTGCCGTGCGGCGACTCGTCGGGATCGGATGGTTGTGTTGACTTTCGTAGGTTGTGATCACGACCGTTGGATCTTGGTAAGATCTCTCAACTCTCTTCTTCACGTTGCACTTCTGCGTCGTGCATCTATAGTAACTCCTGTTTTCGTAATTGACATTTTGGCATATTAGCATGTGATTTATAACTTCGGTTACAAAATTATCAATGACCAAAAAAAAAAACCTAAAATATAAGATACAAGAAAATATTAAACATATGTGATGTTCATAGATATAAAAAAGCTTAGTTTTCTTATTTTCATGAATATCAAACTATATTTTTTTTAATGAGTGGAAAATTTTGAGATTTTAAAAGCCGAAAAGAAAACTAAAAATTATATATGTTCAGCATTTTACAAATTTATTTGACTTATTTATATATTAGTCGATTAACTTTTAATAACCGACTGAATTACCTCGGATAAGGACTGTTTTTGACTGCTTTTTGGCCGTACTTTCTCCAACGATAGCCATCTTCGAGATGATCAACTTCGGTCTTAGTCATAAACGAGACTCGTGGTTCTCTTTGCTTCTTCTCCTCTTTCTTCTTTGTTTTAACCCTGAACCATATATTATTCAATTAGATTAGTACTTTAGATAGATTGGACCGTTTTGTAATTAATGATCCATACAATTGACTTTAAACTATATAGTTAATAATGCTAAGCACCAAATGATTGGTCGTTAGGACACAATACAATAATTGACGGCGGTAGTCGACCAAAAATGGGACTCTTTTTTTTTTTTTAAGTGGGTTCTTATTCATCAATAATTATAGGTACATATAATGAATAATTAATTTTAGAATCAGAATAAAGATACATATAATGTGTATGTATTAGATCATGCATTACAGAAAAAGTACCAAGCTTCTCTGATTGAACTGATTTTTCTATCGTTCTTTCGAATATGAAAAACTAGCGTTTTAGCTAAATATGCTTAGGTTAAACTAGCATTTAGTTTTCATCAACATATCAAATTGAGAAAGAAAAAAAACTATATATACATATATGATGATATCATCAAAATAAAAGCCCTACGGTAGTATTCTTAAAAAGGTATACTTGTATGATATTCAGATCTATATACAATATTTCATATAAAATCATTCTGAATTCATATTTTTTTTAATTAAAAAAAAAGATCGTTTTCTAGAAAACGATTCTTGATTTGGCCCTGAAAGAGAGACGATAAGTAATAATGTGTTTCTTTTCTTTCAAATAATCAAGCTTTTGTGTTTAATCAGAGAAAAAACAAAATTTTGGTAATGGAAAACATAAAATAAAAAGTTTGATCATGATTAATGTGAACTCTAAGTACTTCTATAACCAAAATAAAAGTATAAGTTTTTGTTAAAGTAAAGTATTCTTACTAAAAAGACACTTGTGAAACTTACACTTTTTGAGAACGTTGATCATCTTCTCCTCCATCGTCAGCTTCTCTTTTCCTTAGGCTCTTGCCGGAATCTTCACCGTGATGATGATCGGCCTCACTCGAAGAAGGAGATGGAGAAACCCTAGTTTCACTCTCAATGATTGCACCACCACCACCACCGACAACTTCATGACTCTTGTGACTATTATTATAATCATAAGCATTATAAAAACCGTTTACATGATCTGTCGAAGAATTAAAAAACTCGGTGGAAGATGGGGAGAGCTCGAAACCCAATTCGTACGCTCCTTGAGTACTCGAGTGTAGATCAGAACCGATTTGTGAAGAGATCATGTTTGCATTATAAGTGGATGGACCAGAAACATAAGGGAGATTAACAATATTTTGGTTGTTGTTGTTGCAATGATTATACGATGAAGTGTAGTGATAGTTGTTAAAATTTTTGGTTTCATTAGACATGACGAAGAACAAAGAGGAATTTCAAACCAAAAAAAAAAGAGAGAGAGAGAGAGGAACTTGAAGAAAACGAAGAAGAAGAACTTTTTACGTTTATGATTTTTTTTAGTCGGTCTAAATTTGGTGTTAAGACTTTTGGGTCTTCACGTATTTATGCCTTTTGAAAAATATATATTATTTAATAGATCTTGCTGAATAAATATCGTAAAATGGCGTTTAAACAAATATTTTTAAAATTCTAAGGTTGAATGAAATAGTGCTAGGGTGTGAAATGATTAAAAAGGTTTAGGATTTTGAACTGACTTTTTAATATTAAAAAAAAAAACGAAATCCTTTTATAAAGTTGAGTTGACGAAAAGCATTTTACCTCCCAAATGGAGAGTTACAGAAGTGGCCTCGAGTAAGGAAACATCACTTGGCTTTGTTTCTCAGATTCTTAATGTGAACGTCATGAACTTCATTAAAGTCTCTTTTCGTGAAGGAAATTTAAAAAGATGTTCCGAAATGTACAATAGGTATCCCACATTTGATAAACATGAGGTACAAATTTGGGTTCTTTTAGTATACTACTTTTCTTTTGGGGCCTTAAAGTAAGATCTGAAAAGTTAATATTTACCTTTTATATCAACGTTCTCAGAAAGGTGGAAACAATCTCGTGGAGGAAGCCGATGACTAAATGGTTAACCGGGAACCGGGAACAGTCAGTCTCCGGTCATATTTGTGTGAAGAAGGAAGAGCCAAGTCAAGATTTCAAACGAAGAAAGATAACAAAGGCGAAGATTATGAGGTTATGAGGATGACACGTGTTTTATATTGGCACCGGCATTTGACCGTAACCGACACATGACCTGGCACGTGGTGGACTACTGCATATTGTTCCTCAACCCTAATAAATATCAATATCAGACGTTAATTTACGAATTTATACTTTAATATTCCGAGTCAAGGAGCATGATTAGAAGTTATAAACTTTCTGATAAAACAAAATAAAACTTAGAACCAATTTACATATAATGAATTCGGATGTAGTTTAAATTATACTTTATAAGTTGATTTTTGGAATTTGAGGACGTTATATACGATACAAAAGAAGGACCTTAAGATATAAAAGTAGGAATTGTATAAACCATTTGATCGTAATTTCCATTTTGTATATAGGTTTATGAAAATATGACTACAAAGCTGATGGAGTACCAACGTCATCATCACGCTGCACAATCTCCTCCTTTACGTTTTCACATCAGAAGTTTCTTCGAGCATGTTAAGTGAACAACAAAGTTATAAACTTTAATCCAAACAATTAACATAATAAGATAAGAAAATGGTCAGATATTCATATTATATAATATAATTTATTAATGCTTTTGAAATTTATTTCGTCATAAAGGAGTGGAATTGATGGAAAACATAAAAATAAAGTAAATTAGAAAAGAGAGACATGATTCCTAACCGAAAATGACAATGAGAAGTGAACATATATTGACTAAATGTACGGTCAAAATGATTTTTTTTCTTTATTTTAAATAGATTTATCCTGTTTAATAGCTTATTAAAACATATTTAAAAAAACGTTTGCTTATGAGATGGTCATAGTTCAATTACGCTTCTTAGTGTTTTTTTTTTGTAATCAAACTCTTTAGATGTTCATCAATGAAAAAACCCTTAAACCTAAGGTTAAACCGATAAACAAACTGATCTAGATAATTACATCATTCATGCATGTTCTCTATACGAAACTTGATTACGGCAGTAAACAATTTAATCGTAATTCAAAGTTTCTATAAAAAACGAAAATTTATGTAAAAATGTTTGAGCTTTTTTGCTATCTAACCATATTTACAAAACAATAAAAGAATATAATTATGTTATTTGACACATTAGCAAACTAACCATCGAAAATAACTTTGTACTATATATAATTTTATGGAATAGTCATCTATTTGACATAGTATATATAGAAAAAGAGAGCAAAAAAAAGAAAAAAACGAGAGAAAAGGGGAGAAAAGGAAAGAGGAGGTAAGAAGAGGGAAAAGGAAAGAAGAGAGATGAGATGAACGGAGGTGAGCAGAAGAGAGGAAAGAAGAGTATAATATAATATAGTAGTGTAATCTATTAAACGAATGAGTTTTTGGTATATATTATATAATATATAAGGAATATAATAACTTATATATTAGTATGGTTACTTTCCAAATTATAGGTATTTATATAGTTATATCAGCCAATTTCCCAAAACGTTTTTGAGAGATATGTAAACTACTTTTCAACACACAAAGCAAAGATATATTATCAACAATTGTAGCGATCTTGTGATAGATTTAGATTATCGATGACCCAAAAAGGCAACTAATGAGTTATGATTACCGATGGACCAAAAACGTCAAGAATTACTACTTACGTTTTTGACGACAATGTCTCCAACAAAAAGTAGATTTTTCATTTACTATTCCTTACAGTATAATAAGGTTGACAAAAGAAAAGTCGAACTAGCTAGATTTATAAGTGCTTTGGTCAAAAAATAAATAAACAGATTTATAAGTCCTTATATGAAGTATATACTTATATATTGGTTTACTGCTTTGCTCTAAACCTTAGTTGTGTCTAATCTCTCTGCTCGCATCTTCATATCCAAGAGGTTTCGGTGAAGGTTTAGTATATTTACTTTTTATATTCGCAAGCCTTTAAATTACCAAAACATAGTAGTCAACCATAAGAGACAAAAAAACGAAGCTATATATACACACAAAACTGCATAAAAATATAATGTTCGCAGTTGAAATCTACGACCAGTTTTGTGGAATATGTACGGATTCACCAAACTTCTTAAAAGATTTTTGTTGGTGAGTGGGACTTTTCTTTCACTATCTTTTTCCAACAGCTTTTTTTTTTTGTTGGGGATGAAAATCTTTGTTTGAACCGTTGTCATATAGTAATATTATTTGAAATTATTAAAATCTATTGTGTTAATACAAGATTTATATAAACGTAACATGATGACTAATATATATATCAGATGAATAGTGGAGGCCAGAGATTCGTGGATTGATGAACACAAATCATTTTACGAGAAGTGGGTTTGAGCCAGAAATTCGTGGATCGAACACAGAATCATTATACTATAGGTGGGTTTGGGCTTTAAAATTAAACAATCAAACGCTACATATATACAGTAACTAGTTGAGTACAAATAAATTGATTAAAAATTTCAAATCTTTTACACTAACAAAGGCCCATTAACAAATTACACTCTTCTGATATTTGCACAAATTAATCACCCAAATCGAACAAAAGGTTTCGATCAATTTGGTAATGACATCAAACCGGTAAAGGGAACCGACCATCAAACTTCTTCATCCTCATCATCATCATCTTAGGTGAGATGGTGAGACACTCTCTGCTATAAGAAAAAACCAAAACAAACCAGAACTTAAACCGGAAAAGGGAGATTGTCATTGTCATCTTCAATAATGTTGTATATAATGTGGGTTCCTAAACAGATGTTGCAGTGGATAAATCGTTGCTGCTGGTTTCCAAGAGATCTAAAAGAGTAATCCTTCCACTATTGGTTCGGTCCAGCTTATCAAACTGGTTACCGATCTGATTAATGTCCTTATCGGTTATTTTCTCCATCAGCTTTAGTTTGTATATCACAAACTCTGCTTTACTGCAAAAATAAAATAAAATAAAGCTTCTAAGAAGATAGAACCAAGAAGATCACTGGACCAAAGATCATCATATCAGTCAAAGATAGGGCAGATATATAAAAAGAGTATAAAAATCTACAAAAATATAAAGCTTATGGAATTAAATCTAAAAGAAGAATGCTTTAATATCAAAGAATCAACTAGTTCAAGAACAAGTACGAAACTTTATTACGCAAAGCACAAAACTTTTGATTCATCAAACCAGAAAATGAGTACCTAACGCAGCCGTTACGGTCGATATCAGCAGCAAAGAACTGAGAGATAGACATGTTTTCACCAAGAACTCTCTTGGCCCGTTCTCTGTTCCTCTTATCCACTCTTGCTTCAGCCAAATACAGAAACGCCTGAGCAACCGCTAAAGTAGACACAAGCAGCCAAATCGCAGCAAGAAGCCTACCGTTCAACGTCTTAAAAGCCTGGTCTCCATACCCAACCGTAGTTACCGACATAACCGATAAATAAAACGAATCCAACCACCCGATTCTCTCAACGAAGTGCATAATCAAAACCCCAAACCCAAGGCACAGCAACACAACGCCCAAGGCCAATCCAACTTTCAACCTAATCCTCATCCTCCCTTTCTTCACATCGATCACATACGACCTCTTCTTCTCCGGCTCAGCAAAGATTTCGTTCTTGGCAGCTTCTATCATGTAGTTTTCTTGAAGATCAAGAACATGAGTAACCATCCTACTAAGCAGTATATCGATAAGACCAAACCCAACAAGCACAAACAATATCGAGAATAGCTTCGTCACGACGCTGTTCGGCGTGATGTCTCCGTACCCGATCGTGCACATTGTTACGATGCAAAAGTACAAACCATCGACAACAGGATGGGTGTGATTCACTGTGTAGCTATCTCGATTGATCCAATAGATAAGCACGCCTAGAGAGAGATACACAATAAGCAGAGCAACGCCCTGTCTCACGATGGATTTCGAATCCGATTGCTCTGTTCCCTGATAAATCCGGTGAGTTAGATCGTTGATAGCGGCGATGGCAGGAGCTGTTTTAGATCGGTGGAATTTAGGATGGGTCAGTTTGGGTTTTCGCGCGGGTAAATTGGTCTCCGGAGGTGGGATGAGGAGGTCTGAGGAATCGGAGAAGGAGGTTGTTGCGGAGGATGACGGCGGAGGGTTTTGAGCGAGAGCGTCGATGAGAAGCGATGCGTCTCGTTGGGTGAGATGAAACGAGCCGAAGATGAACCGGTCTTTGAATTCCGACGGAGTCATTGGCATCGGAATCGAGACGTCGACGTCGTTGTGCTCCGGTACGGGAAACAGAGGCGGTGGTTTAGGGGTAATCAAGTGTTGGAGTAGAGGGTCGATGTTGTTTCCGCCATTGCCGTCGTTCGCCATTTGGGTTTTCTCGCCGGGAAACCAGAGTAGTTTTCCGATGATTGTGGGGACAAGAAGAGTGGATAAAGGATGAAACTTTCTCCCCAAAGCCCCACCAAAGATCGAGCTTTTTTTTTTGGCTTTTGATGGCTTATTTAGTTAGAGAGTATCGTCGGTCAAATTATATAGAAAAGACACAGGTTTTTCGAAAAAGACAGACTGGATTAGTTCTTGCTAACGATGAGATATTGACACGATATTAGGATTAGTTGTTTGTATTTTGTTACAACTTTTGTTATTTAATTAGATGATAAGATACTCGAGTGCGACTTAGATTTGCCTTTTATTTAACTTGTAAGCTGTAACTATTTAATCAATGGTCCCTTTAATCAACGGTAAGTTGTTGATTGGTACCATAACATTCGTAATTATCAAAAATTAGCTAAAGTTGTTTTTTTATATAATCAAAGGTGATCCAAACTTTTAACACCTAACTTATCCTCCAAGAATGAGTGTACCCATCGAATAATAAAGTTGTGTTTTTAAAAGAGTGATGATTGTAAGTTTGTGATATTTAATCAATTTCTTAAAGTTTTAACCCAAAAAAATCAACTTCTTTTTTTAGTTGTAAAAGAAAAAAAAAACTTCTTAAAGTTAAAATTTTAATTTGCGACAACCTTTTTTCATTTAATTTTTTAGTAAAATAGGCTCATGGCTCAAGTTAAGAAAAATCAATATCATACTTTGTCGAAATAAATTGGAGATGAAGGGGCCAAAAACTAGAAACATTCAAAATACTTACCAATTAGTGCATATAAAATAAAATAATTTCAGGCGTCAACTCTGTTTGTCAACGCTCAACGGCGCGGTCTCATTCAAGCTGAGAAAGAGAAAGTGAGAAACGGCACGACGTGTCATTTTCGTTGTTTCAGATGACGTGGTTTCGGGAAATCTTTTTGTTTTTAAATAAATTTTTTTGACACCTTCGGATTTTCAGAAACAATCAATCAAAAGGAATATTTCCACTGACAATTTCATCAGAAATGTAGTTTTTTTTTCTTATTTATTTTGTGTTAAAAAAAAAACAGTTAAGCAACACAAACTAATTACAAATACATGATATGAACCATTAAACATCTAAAATTGTTTGATAAATTATACCAAAAATAAAATATATGATAAAACAACACAACAAATGGAAAAATGGAAATAACTAATGTCAACAAAAATCCACATATCATTTTTCGTAAGAAAATTAATACGATCGTTGATTGTATTATTTATAAAGGACTAAAAGGAGGGCATATGCTTAATACTATCAACAACTATTGTTATATTGATTAAAAAAACAACTATTGTTTATGATACAATTGGCTTTTTTTTGGTTGAAGGAGTTTCCGTAATTTATTAAGTAATATTGATTGAACTAGAACCGAATATATTGTGATTTTGTATACCATTAGCATCCTCTAACACAAATTAAAGTAATGTTATATGGTTTCGAATTAAACAAATGCAAACTTAAAAATAAAGAAAACATATAATTTGCTAATTCGCTTCTCGATACATATAAATAATCTCGATTATCTAATTCTTTGATATAAAGTTATAACACAGTTTTAGTAAAAAAGATAGAGGATGAGAATCACTTATTTCCGTTTTAAGAAAACTAACCACAATTTTTGAATCCATCTCTAATTCCAAACTAGTGACTTAGTGTTTCTCTGCTATGAAAAGTCTATAGTAAACTATAACTCAGCTAACGGTACCAACTCCCAAACCCATCCGGTAAAACCTCTCCAGCCATTGCACCGCCAGCTAATTCATTGACTCATATATTTTCTTTTTAATTTTAAATAATATATAAAACATCAAATTATCTTTAACATATATATTTTTTTATTTTTTCTTCTAAAATATATGTGGGTTTTTTTCTAATTTATTTTTATTTTATAGGAAAAAAAGATTGTTACTTTTTCCTCTAATTATAGAGAAAAAAATAATATCTATACTTTTTTTTAAATTAGAAGATTTAAAATAAATGGGAGTTGGAGATGCTTTAAACACAAGATATAACCTGAAAGTTTTATAAAAAATTAAAGTAGTAAAGATTCATTTTTACTTTTAATTCTATTTCTTATTCATATATACATTATTTAAAAAACAATTTGCTAAAATAATATTTATAATTTATTTTTCTATATGTTTATTTTTCGTTTTATTTATAATTTTGAATTCTTGCTATAATGAGAATGTTTTTACATATGATATAATTTATTTTCTTATTTAAAAATAAGATTTATTTAGTTTTAACTCAACTAAAAAATATTTTGTTTATTTTAAAACATTTATTATATTATATTTTCATGTCAATATTAAAATGTATTAACTTTTCTTCACTTTTTTATATTTTAGTTTTTTTTTAATTAAATTTGATAAAAAAATAATTTTTTTTGGTTAAATAGGATTTTATTGCACATGGCCTGAATTGATTTTTGAGCCGGGTCTGCTCTAAACTGAACCAAGCTAAGATTTTCTATTTTAAATTTTGGTTCGGCTGCTTAGATTAAAACAGATGGGCAACATTTTAAATTGATTCGATTATCAGTTAGGTTCGGTTCAATCAAACCGATCGGTAAACCTTTGTATTTAGAAACATCATCATCTTAACTCTCCTGCAAAAGTTCCGGCGGGAAAAATAAAAAGGGGATAAGGGTTTATCGACCTAAAGCGAATCGGGTCGAAATCGAGAGGCAATTTTCGACAGACATGGTGATAGAGACGAAAGCCAACCAGCAAGCCGTCTCCGGAGAAGCGTCCACCAGCAGCCGAAAGAGGCAACGACGACTTCCCTCTATTGTTGAAGATGAAGCAGTACCCGCACCGGAAGGAGGAGTTGGCGCGAATGGTGGAGGAACGGCGAGTGGAAATCAGATCAGAGCCGGCGATGAGGTGATAACGACGGCGGTACGATCTGGGACGCTGCTCGATCTAGATCTTCTCGAGTGTCCCATTTGCTGCCACGCACTAACGATTCCGATCTTTCAGGTTTTGTTTCTCATCTCTTCCCACCTTCGCGATTGCTCCTTCTTCCTATTTGATAATCGTACGGTTTATTCATATTTCCGAAAAAAAAACTATTGTATTTGGATGATTTTGGGGGAATATGTTGCATTAGGAAGATCTCAATCGCTAAGGAAGAAGAGTTCTAGGATAGTTCCGTTTGATTGAATAGTGAACGAGTCCTGTGAAAATACTGCTCGAAGAAACATAATGGATATGATTCTCTTTCCCATAAATGATTAGATTTGCTTTTTAGTTTCATTGACTTGTAATCTGATTTCTCAAGTTCAGCCTTGATTGCTGCAATGATTTGTCTCCAGAACACTTATGACGAATTTCGTAACAAGAAACTTCAATGGATGATTGTCATTCCCAGTAAACATATGTATTGTACCAGCTTATAATTGATTCTATAGCTTCATTAACTTGAAATCAGAATTCTCAAATATAATCTTGACACATTGAGCTGATAAGTTCTTCCACTATGGCATTGCTATGTTAATGACAACGATTTATGTTGTTTTTTTTTGCATCTTTCAGTGTGACGACAATGGACACATTGCTTGCTCCTCTTGCTGTTCTAAAATCAGCAACAAGTGTCCTGTCTGCAAATCACCCATTGGAAAATATAGATGCAGAGTATCGGAAAGAGTTTTGGAAGCAATAACCGTCCCGTGCCCAAACGCCCAACACGGTTGCGCCGAGAAGTTCTCTTACGGCGCAGAACTAGTCCATGAGAAGGAATGTGCGTACGCTCTGTGCTACTGTCCTGCACCAAACTGCAACTACAGGGGCGTGTACAAGGATCTCTACAGCCACTACTATGCTAACCACAGTCACACAAGGAACTGTTTCAGTTCTGGCATTTTAGTCATTGATCAAGGTTGTGATGATGGTGCATTGGTTGTGGTTCAGAGTTTCAAGGAGCCACATGGAGTGTATGTAACTGTGAACTGTATAGCACCTTGTGCTCCAGAAGTTAATAAGTTCTCCTATAAGCTGGTCTATTCGCTGGGAGGTAACACTATGATGTTTGGATCGAGGGAGATGAATAGGATTCAGAAAGTGAGCTTCAAAACTCCTGAAAAGGACTTTCTGTTAGTTCCTTACTATCTTCAGGGTGATAAGGAGATATTGGAGATGCTGGAAATTTGCATCCACTGGCTAGAAGAAGACGAAGATGAAGAAGAAGACCAAGAATGGATTTCTCCTGTTAATCTCTGTAAATGTAAGTAATGTCACTACTCTGTTTTCTGAGAAAGACTGGCTCATGTTCTCCGCTTTCTAGTACTTAAGAAACGAATAACCAAAATGAATGTTAGTCTAATAAACTTACCATTAAAAGTGGAATTGCTTTCCAACTTTCTAATCTTTTTGATTTGGACCATATTCTGATGGCTCGTTGTTTTACCATAATGCTGATTGGGACCATAAAGTACTTTAATCTTCTTATATGGATCGAATGTCTCAATTCCACAATCTTGAGCGATGATACCAACCATGGAGGCACTGTCATATCATTTGGTTTCTCTATCTTTACTATAAACCATAGATTTACCACATATCACCAGTATGAGAGATTATAATTTTTGACAGCTCGGAAGAAAGATTTAATAACATTTCCAGACCCAAGTTGTAACCAAATTTAGCAGTCAATCGTGACAAGTAAAAAAATTGGAAATATTGTATGTCCTTCAAAAAAACACAACATGTATCTAGATCATCATTCGAAATAGCAATAAGGATATCATTATTCTCACAACAAAAGAAAATATATACTTTCTCAGAAAGCCAAATAGATGATCTTAATATGATAATATATTTTGAGTTAATCTGTCTTTTAAACACTGGAGTAGAAGAGTATCAGTCACAACTTTGTTATACTTATTAATGTGGATTCGCTTTAGCGTCTCAGAGTGCACTTGTAAAACCTTTGCATGATCTTTACATCTTTTAAATCTAGAGAGACTAAAATTAGTTTCATCAAAGCGACCTCACTGGGACATCTAATAAAATACCAATTCCATGGTCTTTAGGCAAGGTAAAGAAACAAACTCAGGTGATGAATGTTTGTATAGCTTCACAAAAAAAGTCAAAACTTTACTTGATTGTTTATATCATCACAATTCTCCTTGATTATTACAACTTTTTTTGCCATTATATTCAGCTTTTTGATTCAATGTTTATGTTCATACGGTATTATAAGGAAAGGTAAAGAAACCTATTTCTGTCGTCTAAATCACACAAGTATTGAAAAGAAAGTCATTAGCTTTTGGTTGGTTGATCTTGATTAGTAGTTGTCTCTTGGCCATCACCGTTGTTGGCTTCCGTCAAATGGATCTCTTCTACTATTTTTTTGGTCCTGATATGAATTGTAAGGATCGGTTCTTCCATAATCAAGCAATCGATAAAGTTGCTGTTCTTGCTCTTGTTGTTGTTGTTGGCTATGACCCGAACTCGGTGACTGCTGAATCCAATGATGCGGGGCTAAGCTGTTTTGTTGGTCCTGAGATGAATTGTTAGGATTGGTTCTTCCATAATCAAGCCATCCATAGGGTTGCTCTTCTTGCTCTTGTTGTTGTTGGCCATGACTCGAACTCGGTGACTGCTGAATCCAATGAGGCGGGGATAAGCTGTTTTGTTGGTCCTGAGATGAATTGTAAGGATTGGTTCTTCCACAGTCAGGCCATCGATAGGGTTCCTGTTCTTGCTCTTGTTGTCGTTGTTGTTGTTGGCTACGACTTGAACTCGGTGACTGCTGAATCCAATGAGGCGGAGCTAAGCTGTAAGTACCACTTCCTTGCAATAAAAGCCACTCATTTGAGTTTCGATCCTGAAACCAAAACCACGGGAAAACAAAAACATAACCAAGGGTTACGTATACGACAAGTCATCGACTTGAGTAGATACAACAAAACCAAAAAAAAAAAAAAACTCAAATACTCAAAGATTTAATGGGTTTCACACCTGATGTTGAACTGATGGAAAGCGATTACTAGTACTCCCATTAAACCTCGAGCTTGCGGAGTTATCCCTCGACGTGGCAAAACCGTAAGGAGAAACATGAGCTGATTGAGGAAGATGACTGTTTCTGTACTGAGGATTAGGCATGGATTCTTGAAACTGATGATGGTAAGTGCGGTTGTAATTACTACCACCATGTTGGTGAAACGCTGATGGTTGTGGTGGCATGGATGCTTGAAACTGATGATGGTAAGTGCGGTTGTCACTACCACCATGTTGGTGAAACGCTGATGGTTGTGGTGGCATGTTGTTGTAGACGTTGTTCTGATTTTGCGGCGAGTAAGGAGAGTTCATCATCGCATTACCATGATACCCTGAATGAACATTATGCTGTGGGTAATAATAGTCCATGGCTCGTTGATCCCTCTCTTCTTCAACCCCATATGCCTGCAACATACAAAAATCAAGAATTAAGGTTTTTTAAAGAAAAAAAATCAACAAACGAAAAATATGAATCACACATTTTTTAAAGATGTAAACAAGAATTAAGGTTGCCTCTTGAAATTTAGCAAGATGGCTGTTGAATTCATCCTCAGTGCAGAGCCCACGATCATCTCTGTGAAAACATTTAAGAGATCATTAGAGCATATAAATGTGGAGAAAGCTAGTAGAAGGAGCAGATTGATAAAAAAACGGCTTACCTTGTGTTCTGTGGTTCTTCCTCGTTAACCGATGATGATCTAGGGTCATCATTCTCTATAGAGAGTTGCTGTAAACTGGTGACAACAGGCTCAGGCTCTTGAAGTTGATCTCTTGTAGCATTAGGCTCAGTAATTGCGTCAGAGAGTTGATCAGTAACATCTGGCTTCTTTTGCAAGGGAGGATCATTTACATTCTCTTCCCATAAACCTAAAGTCTTCTTCAGAACAGGTTCAGGCTCTTGAAGTTGATCTCTTGTAGCATCAGGCTCAGTAATTGAGTCAGAGAGTTGATCAGTAACATCTGGCTTCTTTTGCAAGGGAGGATCATTTACATTCTCCTCCGATAAACCTAAAGCCTCCTTCAGAACCTCAGCCATTGTTCTCTCGCCAGATATCAACCTAGAAGGTGGCCGTCGCGTGGCTTTGATCGGGCGTTTTAGCACTCTCTTGGTTTCAACATTTGTTACAGCACTGCAAAGAAACAAGTGATATAACGAGGAAATGTTACAGCCATTGTTCACTAGGTCAGAGGGACCACAACTTTAACTAGATTAATGATACCTAGAAGATGTCTCAGATAACAAAGGAACTGCTACACTCGAGCTTACTGCAACGCTCTCAGTTTCAGTATTTGTTATACCACTGCAAAGAAACAAGGATAGAACAAGGAATGTTACTAAGCAAGATGCATCAATTGACAAACTTTTAAGGCAATTTAACAAGAGATTATAGCACATGAAGAGAACCTTTTAGTAGATGAATCAGACAAATGACTACTAGTTCCTTGCACATTGCTTGTCTCTGAAGCAAACCCAGTGATTAGTTTTTCAGACATTTTTTCTTCTTTCTAAGAGATAGAAAGAGCCACAAAGATATAAGTCTTATGCAACTGATTACCATCTGAGTTGTTTCCACCACTTTGAGCAAGATCATGATCATCACCGCCATTACTTATTTCAGGATTCTGGTTGCTGCTACTACCAACTTCTTGAGAGCTAGAACCCAACGTGGTCTGGGAAGAATTTTCAAATAAGTGGAACTGCACAAGGACATAGAAAAGGTTCAAGCTTCAGGTTAAAAACTACACAAAAAGGTCTATATAGATTTTGTTTCTGTTACCTCTTCCTCATTGCATTGGTTGCTTCCAACTTCCTGAGAAGCAGCTGGAAAAGGTATCGAAGCAACATTATCAGAAATCAAGTTGATGTACAAGAATCACGAAGCAAAGATAACTCAGAAGCAAAGCTTTCATGGGTTTTGAATACAAAAACAGAGTGATTATGCAGAAACTCGCAGAAGTAGCAATTTGTTCAAGGTTTATTCACTGAATCAGATTCGTAGTAAAAACAACAACAATACAGTAGTAGTAGAAGAGGAAGAACGAGAAGAAAATGAAGAAACAACTGATCTTTAGGGTGTTGCTCTGTTTTTATTCATGTTCGATTCCTCTTCTCTCTTTACTTTTAATCAAAAAACCCAGAAAGAAAGGAAGAAACTTTTTAGAAAGAAACCTATTTCCAAAAGACGATCAAGGGCGAACTCATCACTCATATTGCATTCTACAAGAATTGAGTAAATCTCTTGTTCGGGGAGATACACCATATCCTGTAACCACTGAACCAAATATCTCCATTTCGCCGGAATACCGTCGGCGTTTACGCCACCGTCTCCTACTTTCTTTTTCCCCATTTTTGCCGGAAAACGAAAAGCCCAGTCGAAATCTGTAACAGAGAAACTTCGCAATCCAATACGCAGATGAACGAACAAAGAAGATTCTCACTCTCTCTCTCTCTCGCTTCTTCTGGCTTCGACTATCAAGAAACTCTCTCTTTCTTTTGCTTCTTCTTTCTGTGTCTCTTTCAATCTTTGGGCTTAATATATAGTTTTGGGAAAATCGGGGGAAATATTCAAATTAAGAAAATAAAAGAATTACTTTCCAAACTTACTGAAATTTTGAAACTTTCTGAAGTCCTCAAAAGTAAAAGTCGTAAACTCTTTTTGGGTCAAAAACTCAGATTACTAAACTTAATAGTTTTAAATCTTAATACTTAAAAGTACGGGCGCATATTTGAAAATATTTCGAAATACTGTTGCACTATCTCTTGGTTTCATATCTTCTCTAACCAAGAAAAAAACTAACCGTTCAATAAGATGAGGCTCTTGCTTCCATTTTCCGCCACGTCACCGCCGGCGTCGCCGCCATCTTTCCCGGAACATCCACATCCGTCACAAATCGAGTACTCCGGTTTAATCAAAATTTTCAAAAAGTCGGTAATAGGAACATTAACCGGGGCTCTCTCGCTCACACTCGTATTCTCGTCGCCGGTTTTCTCCGTTGCTGCTGCGATCGATCCTTATCTCTCTCTGAATCCGCCATCATTGTCGCCTGATTCTTCTCTGAACTACTTCGATTCGTCTCCGGAAGATTGCCCCAACGAGGAAGAAGAAGCTGACACTGAGACGCGAGACGATGACGTCAGGCCTCAGGTAGTAACTAATGAAGGGATTGTTGAAGAAGCTTGGGAGATTGTTAATGACTCCTTCCTCGATACTCGGAGCCATAGCTGGACTCCTGAAACTTGGCAGGTAGTTAAAAATCTATGTGGGTAATGTTTAATAGCTTGATGGGTGGTTAAAGGAAGAGACTTTATGTGTAAAGATTGGATTTTTTGTTGTTGTGGGTGTGTTACTTTGCAGAAACAGAAGGAAGATATATTAGCTAGTCCAATTAAGAGTAGATCAAAGGCTCATGAAGTGATTAAGAAAATGTTAGCCAGTTTGGGTGATCAATACACTCGCTTCCTCTCACCAGATGAGGTTTTTGTTCTTTATATATTCAGTATTTGGCTTTGACGGATGAGTCTTAAGCTGTTTCAGTTTACACATCTCTTTGTTTTGTGTCACTTGTTTGAAGTTCTCCAGGATGTCGAAGTATGACATCACCGGTATTGGAATAAACCTTAGAGAAGTTTCTGATGGTGGTGGAAATGTAAAGCTGAAGGTTCTTGGTCTTGTAATGGACGGTCCTGCTGATATTGCCGGCGTGAAACAGGTTAAAAAAAACCGGTTTAGTTTCCTTCTAGTAGTTTTTGATCGCTTGTTGGTTTTGCTCAAAAGTGTGCAATGCCTTTTCTCTTGCTAGGGAGATGAGATTCTTGCTGTCAATGGAGTGGATGTTAGTGGGAAATCATCGTTTGAAGTATCATCTCTGTTACAAGGCCCTAGTAAAACTTATGTGGTTCTCAAGGTTATTGCTCTTAGTTAACAAAAGACAAACTAAATACATTACTACTTGCTTTAAGCTGAAGTATGCGTATTGCAGGTGAAGCATGGAAAATGTGGACCTCTTAAGTCAATTAAAGTCCAGAGACAAGTTAATGCAACGACACCAGTCTCTTACCGGCTGGAAAAAGTTGACAACGGAAAAATCTCTGTTGGGTATATCCGACTAAAAGAGTTCAATGCCTTGGCTAGAAAAGATTTGGTGATTGGTAAAGACTTTTTCCACATTTTGTCCGGTCACATCAAAGTCATCAACTTTTATGTTCTTGTGTTTATGCTACACATTCTTTTTTTTTATTATGTGCAGCAATGAAACGACTTCAGGATAAGGGTGCGTCTTATTTCGTAATGGATCTTAGAGATAACCTTGGTGGACTTGTACAGGTGCATTGAACAACTGTAACTTAAGACCATGTCTTTCTACAAATGCTTTGCAGTCACTTGATTCTTCAATTAGTCTTTGTTTCTTGATTTTGATAATTTCAGGCTGGAATAGAAACTGCTAAGCTGTTCCTAGATGAAGGGGATACGGTAAGATCACTCATCATTTAGAACATTAAAAACATTTTTTTGTCCTTTTTCAGGAATGTTAAACAGAATAGCTAACATGAAGAGATTCATTGCGATTTACTGCGTAACAGGTGATATATACAGCCGGGAGAGACACCGAGTCACAAAAAACTGTTCTTGCAGATAGAAAACCATTGACCACTGCCCCACTTATTGTATGTGATGGATCATGTAAGATGTTTAAAATTTCACTCTATAATGCTTTTTTTGCATCATGAGCTGATTAGAATCCTTATCATTGTTGCAGGTGATGGTAAATAACAGAACAGCAAGTGCTAGTGAAATTGTGAGTGGTCTCAATAGATAAGCCATTGAAACTCGTTTTAGTTTGGATCATTAAACGAAATGATTTGTTCTGTTTTTTTCAGGTAGCCTCTGCACTTCATGATAACTGTAAAGCAGTTCTTGTTGGCGAAAGAACTTACGGAAAGGTTTAGTTACAAAGTCTTAATAGTTTTTATAACGAATCAATCGATTTCGAAATTTTGTTGTGATCATCTTCTTATGGGTTTCAGGGTTTGATTCAATCGGTTTTCGAACTCCGAGATGGTTCTGGAGTTGTTGTGACAATAGGAAAGTATGTCACACCTAACCATATAGACATCAATGGTGGTGGAATTGAACCTGATTTCAGAAACTTACCAGGTTTAATTAAAATCTGGAATCTTGTTTTTTTTTTTTATAGCATTTGAATATTTCATTCATTAACCTCGTTTTAATCTTTTATTTGATGACACATTATGATCAAAGCAGCTTGGGATGAAGTGAAAGAACGTTTGTCTAAGTGCAACATTCTCCAACAAAGCTGAAACGTGGCTGTCTTCTTGTTAATATTTTTGCCCAAACCACAACAAAAAAACAAACGATTAGCCAATTTTTTGAGTGTGTCAAAGATAAAAGAAACATGTGGGTATAATTGAAATTTCGTCGAGATTGTAAGGGCCATTTAATAATAATGTTACTCATGTGAAGACTGCCAAATTTTGCACGTGTCACAAAACTCATTCTTGTGAAACGCAGCTGCCAAAATCGCATTCTTGTGAAACGCAGCTGCCAAAACCTGGGCGTGTTAAAAGAACAAATGAAAACACTAGGGGCGTAAAATAAATTGCAGCTACATTAAAGGGCTAATAAATAATAATTGCAGTCATATGAAAATCCCCTGCCTGAGAAACAAAATTAAAGTCGTGTGCCCTTCAATGGTGTCTACGGAGGTTTGCACCGCCGTCTCCGGTATGAAACCAATGTCTCCGCCTCCTGAATCAGACGGCTCTGCTGGTAAACCCTCTCTCATTTTATCTCTACATCAGTTTTGGGTTCTCCCCATTGCAGAGAAATTCCTCCATCACTCTAAAGAAGTGAGTAGAATCTTAAGTGACCTCATTGAATTGGTTTCGTTTGCAGATTTCCTCGATAACAATAGACTACAAGAAACTTTCTCCAATGGAGGACTTGATTTTGATGATTGGACTTTGTTAATCTCCGAGATAGAGACTTCATTCCCAGTAAGTAGCATTTTGGTGCAAAGCTGAAAACTTTGCGTTGCATTCCATTTAACAGTTCCTGATTTCGTGATCCGAAATTAGGGTTCTTGTTTAAACTTTGCAACACTTGTTCTTATTCTCTCTGGACCTAAAATAGTTGAAGTTGCTTTTGTAGGATGATATCGAGAAGCTATGTTTAGTCTACGATGCTTTCTTGTTGGAGTTTCCATTGTGCCATGGCTATTGGAAGAAATATGCTTACCATAAGATAAAGCTATGCACTTTAGAAGATGCTGTTGAAGTTTTCGAACGAGCTGTACAAGCAGCTACTTACTCTGTATCTCTATGGCTCGACTATTGCGCTTTCGGTGTTGCTGCGTATGAGGATCCTCATGATGTTAGTAGGTACTTCTGAACTTTGGGGTAGGCTTTGTGTTTATTCTCTGAGTAACCAATTATACAAAATTTCCATTTTTAGTCTGGAAATCAGCTACAATCTTACTAGCATTGCAATGATATTCTTTGAGTAACCAAGCTTAGAAAGAATCAAAGGCTGATTTTTTGGAACTGATTACTTCACATTGGAATGATCTGACAGATTATTTGAGAGGGGCCTTTCGTTTGTTGGAAAAGATTATTCTTGCTGCACACTCTGGGACAAATATATAGAGTTTCTTTTGGGTCAGAAGCAATGGAGTTCACTGGCTCATGTATATCTCCGGACCCTGAGATATCCATCCAAAAAATTGCATCTCTATTACAAAAAGTATGTCTTTTCACAGATGTCCTATAATGATTAATGACTATTATGATGTTGTGATACTTGGAATTCTTGTGGCTTAAGTTTCTCAATCACATTATACTTGTCCTGTACTTTTTTTCCAGCTTCAGGAAGATTTCTTCTTCTTTGAAAGAGAAGATTAAATGTAGAATAGATGCTAACGGAGACCTTTTTTCGGACCCCATGGAAGAAGATTTGGTCCCTACACGTCACACTGATGAGGAGATCTCTGTCGTTATAAGAGACTTGATGGGTCCTTCCTCTAGCTCGGCTGTGTCAAAAGCATTGCATGAATATTTGTCGATTGGAGAACAATTCTATCAAGATTCACAGCAATTAGAGGACAAAATAAGTTGCTTTGAGACGCATATCCGCAGGCCGTACTTTCACGTAAATCCGTTGGACACTAATCAGCTGGATAATTGGCATGCGTATTTGAGCTTCGCTGAAACATATGGGGACTTTGATTGGGTAAGGGAATTTCTTTGTTCAGTTTGGTTTTTGTTCCTTTCTTGTTTATATTCAAAACTTTTTTCATTTTTAATTGCAGGCTATTAAGCTTTACGAGAGATGCTTAATACCATGTGCTAATTACACCGAGTTCTGGTTCCGCTATGTGGATTTTGTTGAAAGCAATGGTGGAAGGGAGCTAGCAAACTTTGCGTTGGCTCGAGCTTCACAAACTTTTGTTAAGGTAAATGGGATTACGATTGCTTTGCTGTATCAAACAAAAGGAAACAAGGAAGATGAAGTAACAAGAATATTCACTTGATGTGTTATGTTCATTGCAGGATGCATCTGTTATCCATCTATTCAATGCAAGATTCAAGGAACACGTTGGAGATGCATCTGCTGCTTCTGATGCTCTGTCTCTATGTGGCGAGGAACTTGGTTTGGGTTTTGTTGAAAATGTAACTAAGAAGGCTAACATGGAAAAGCGTCTGGTATGGATGATACACTGCTTGGTATCATTTGGTTTTGATGACTCAGTGCTTGCTATCATTTGGTATCTGATTATTCAGTGTTTTTTTGTAGGGTAATTTTGAAGCGGCTGTTACTACATACAGAGAGGCTCTGAAGAAAGCACTTATTGAAAAAGAAAACTTAGAATCCACTGCACTGTTGTACGTTCAGTTTTCTCGTCTCAAGTACATGGTAAGTAATGTTTTTACCCATGAAGGTTTATATTTCAATAACATGTCCCGATTTAGATCTCTGGGAACTGTTTGGGTCACTACCTTACCTTCAGTGCGTCACATACTTCATTTTCTTAGATAACAAACAGTGCTGATGAGGCAGCTCAGATTCTGATAGAGGGCAATGAGAAAGTTCCTCACTGCAAATTACTTCTTGAGGTGTGTTATTGGCTGGAAATTTTAAATCTCTTCAAACATTTAATCACATTTCTCCACTGAAGTTCTATAATCGCTTATTAACATTTTGGAGCTTCGATCGCTGTTAATTTTGTGTTAACAGGAGCTTATAAGACTGTTGATGATGCATGGAGGGACTCGACAAGTAGATTTGGTAGATCCGATCATAGACAAAGAAATATCTCACCAGGCAGATTTCTCCGATGGTCTGAGCGCTAAGGACAAGGAGGAGATATCAAATTTATACATGGAGGTAAGGTTTCTTGCCTGTGGCCTTGTTTAGTCCACTTTCTCTCATTTCTTGATCTCATAGAATGTGTGTTGACACTTAGTAATTGCTCTCTGTTTTGAGCAGTTTATTGACCTCTCTGGAACCATCCACGATGTGAGAAAGGCTTTGAGGCGGCACATAAAATTATTTCCACATTCTGCTAGAGCCAAGTCACATGGATTATGTCCTTTGCGGAAATCATTCAGAGAGTTAATTCAGAGAAGAGAGAAGACCCGTGTGTCCACGACTCAGGAGTTGTCAATAGACAACAGCATTGGCGACACAGTTGTTTTGCCTCCCGAAGAAAAGAAAGACTTACCTTTAGACTCTGATGGTTCCCAATCTAAAGGTGCTAATCGTTCTGACTATTTAAACAACGAGCCTAATCTGGAGTCTCTGTCATCAGGATTTCAAATTGAAGGAAACAGTAATGTTGCAGACAGGGAGAATCTCTGTGAGTCACAGAGTGATCTGTCCTTGGGATTAAAGGCGGATGAAAGTGGTGAACGCTCTCGTGAAGTAAGCCTACCGATCCAAGCCGCACCTAGACATTGTTTTGTCACTAAACAAGCTCGCTTCTCGTCCAGTTCAGTAGATACTGTGGCATCTGATGCTATTGAGATCCAACCTAATCGTCAAGAGTTTCTCAGGCAAACTAGTCGAAACCGATACCACAGAAACGATTCGAATCTTAGTTCACACGAGAGACCTTTCCACGTGTCAAATTCTCCAGCCTCAGCCTCACAGACTCCGCAATACCAATGTCAGAACTCTGCATCTCAGCTGCATCCCATGGTGCAAACATCCATTGCTCATCCTCAAGCCCAGATTTCTGGTCAGCAGATGAGTGTAGCCACTTCAGAGAATCCAGCAACGCTTCAAAGTTCAATCTCACAGAATCCGCAGAAGCAATATCAAGATTATGCATCTCAGGTTCAAACATCATTTGCTGCTTATCCTCAGACTCAGTCTCCTCAGAATCCAATGCAAAGCAATGGCCAAGAAGCTCAGATGCAGAGCAATGAAGCCTATAACCAGATGTGGCAACAGTATTACTATTGCAATTACTACTACCAACAACAACAACAGCAACTGCTTATGTCTCAACAACCACAACAGCAACAGCTTATGTCTCAACAACCACAATCAAATCAGACTTCCCAGCAGCCGCAACTAGATCCGAATCTTCTGCAACTTCTCTCCAAACAGTACCAATCTCAAGCTGGACCTCAGGATCCACAATCTCAACAGGTGGAGCAACTCAATAATACACAGCAACAGAGCCAAGAACTGACAACTCAGCAGCAAATTCAGTTCCAGCAACAACAACAGGAATGGTTCCAACAGAAACAACAACAATGGCAACAGCAACAGCAACATTATCTTTACTATCTTCAGCAACAGCAGTTACAAGAAGAAGCAAAAGTTGATGAACAGAGACCATCTATGCCACAAGTCTCCACAAGAGAAAGTGATATTCAAAAGGTTTGCTTCAAACACAAAACTTGAGCTGCTTCAAATTTTGTATCTTTTGTTATCAGTTTAAGCGGTTTACTAAGAATATATGCTCTTCATGTAGAGTGGAGAATCTGGAGGAAATGAAGTAGAAGAATCTTCAGACACATCCATTAGTTCTATATGAGCCTCATGGAAACTGATGAACAGTGTCGTATGATCGATCCCAGAGATTATTTCAGTGGATGAAACTGAAGCAATTTAAATTTTTAGTAATTTTTCGTTATTTTTAATGTCTTTTTGTTCCTGTTGTGCCTAAAATCTAGAAAAAGAATCTAAAAATCAAAATTTTAAAAAGCGAGGGCTTGAACACGCGTCAAATTATGTGGGTGAGTCGTCCAGCTGGTCTTACTACACACGTGTTTGTTTTCTATTGGATTAGAAGCGCCCACCAAAGGAGCAAATCATAGCCGTCGATTTGATCCAATAGGAGCCGTCATAATTCTGTATTGACCGTTCGTGGAAGTTATGTGAGAGAGAAAGAAACCCAGAGAGACCAACACAAGTAGAGACCACAAAAACAAAAGAGAGAAGCTCTCTTCCTTTCTCTCTCTCTCTCTCCCTCAGGTCGGTCTTCGTCTTCTTCTCCAAATTTCGATCGCTTTCTTCTTCTGTAAATTTTGTTTGATTGCCTTAGTTTTTCCATTTTTGTTTTCTTCTGTGTTGTTTTGACTTTCGATTTCTTATTGTGTTTGTTTTGTCTATTTCGACGTGAATTGTTGGATTTTGTTAGGCAAACACCATTTCAATCCGTTTTTTTCTTTCTCGAAGTTATTTCTAATTGAGCTCGAGACGAGTTTGAATTTGTGAATTTTCTTCTGGGTTTTGGTTTCGATTAGCTGTCTTATGGTACCTTTTTATTTATTTGAGCTATGTTTGAAATTTTGATTCTGCCGAAATAGTTACAAAAAAAAAAAAACTATTTTTGTTGTTTCGCTCTCGAATTTTGCTTTACGATTGCTTGATTCGATGTTAGTGTTTCTCTGATTTGGAGTTGGAATTCTAGTTTTAGTGAAGCATCAAGCATGTAACTTTGATTTTGTTTCTCTGATTGATTTGCTTACCTCTCGACGAAATTAGGAATAGAGACCTATATCTGAACCTTAATTAGGGTTTTTTAAATGTAAGATTCTGGGTTTTGCTATTTCTGATAGGTTGACTTTTGGATTGGTTTGTCTCCTCGATTTTGTCTCCATGAGCTGGGATTCCTTTTCTATGCTGTGTAGATGCTTTTATATTTTCTCGGATTTCTGGTTTGATTACTCAAATGATTGATTGTGATGTGCTCTGTTTTGCAGCATCAGTTGTTGTTGGCTTGATTCTTCAGTAAGGTCTCGTTGCACCTAAATGTGCTCGATCCAAGGTCGCTATAACTCGACATAACAGAGCCAAATGCCATATATAGAAATGAAGAGCAAGATAAGCAAGGTTCTTGGTGTCTGTAAGAAACCTAAACCAACCATAAGACATTCATCCTCTCTGTCCAAAATATCAGAGCGCATGGAAAGCATGACAACAGCTACTCATACTTGCCACGACGATGAGAAACAGCAACTCGGTAAAGCTTTTTTCCTTGTTAGAAGAGTATTGTGTCCTAATTGTTGACTTAGATCATCTGATGATTGTGTCAGTTTCTTCAGGTGTGGATACTTCTTCTCGGGATATCGAAACCAACGAGCCCGCTGAAATGCTTGTTGAAGACACTTCTCAGTCTCAGGCGTTTACATCTGCTGTTGATGGTTCTGAATCTGTCGAAAAAACGGTAATATTTGATATATGTAGCTGATTTTTCGTTTATCCTCGACTTCACAGATACTAGATGAGTAACGTTTTAATTGCTCTTGTGCAGGAATTGGCTTCCAATTATATGTCAAACTCGGATACAATATTTTCGCCTGTTCTGAATGATGAACTGAATGGGACTGATCGAGGTATTTGTTACTGGTGCTGTATATAATATCTAAGTTTTTTTTTCTCGTTTGATATATAATAATCTTAATAAGTTTCTTTCCTCAGTATTTACGGCAGGAAACTCTGTGCACTGGGAAATTCCCAGGTGGGGAAGCGACGAGAGCAGCAACAAGATTTACTTTGACAACCAAACTTGCAACGTTTCTGATTTCTACATTTCTGACGTTCTTATTGCGAGCTTACCGTTTGATGAGAGTGGAAACAATGATGCTTTCGCCGAAATAAGCCCTTTGCCTCACTACATATTTCCTGAGCAGTACATGTTACTACCTTACCTAGAAGATGGATCAGCCAACACGGATGATGTTAAGTCAGATGTTGACACCAGGATTAATCTCGATAACCATGACTTATTCCTGGCGTTCAACCGGACGAGATCACACAATACAGAGCCAGATCATGCTGAATCTGAGCAAGCGGAAGATTTTGACCCTCAGCTTTTTATAAAGAATCAGCCGGAACTATCGGATGTTGTATCCAATTATTGGCCTAGGGATACCCTAAGAAAGAAGGCTGTGACTCTTGTCCTTGATTTGGATGGTATGGCTTCTCTCATTTCATTCTTATAAAGCCTGACTTGTCCTTTCACGATTCCTCATCATGAGCTCTCAGTTTTCAGAACAGTTGCTCCTTTAATCTTTTGATGAGTATACATGGCGAAGCATTTATTATGACTGTGCTGTCAGATTTTCTGTTTCTCTTACCTCTAAAGTGGTAACTAAACTTATCAAGTCTCTTTTTTTTTTTCTCAATTGCAGAAACTTTGGTCCATTCGACTCTGGAATCTTGCAGTGTTGCAGATTTTTCCTTTCGAGTCTTCTTCAACATGCAAGAGAACACGGTCTACGTGAAACAAAGGCCACACCTTTACAGGTTCTTGGAGAGGGTGGTAGAATTGTTTCACGTCGTTATCTTCACTGCGAGCCACAACATCTATGCCTCTCAACTTCTCGATATATTGGACCCAGAGGGAAAGTTCATATCGCAGCGTTTTTACCGTGACTCATGCATTCTTTCGGAGGGAATCTACACCAAGGATTTAACTGTTCTGGGTCTTGATCTGGCCAAAGTGGCTATAATTGACAACTGTCCGCAGGTACTTCATCTGGAGATCTGCCATGGATCTTGACATTTTTCATTAGTGTTTTTTTATGCTTATTGTACTCTATTACTAAGAGCACTGTTCATTTCATGGAAGGACACAACCTTCAACTTCAGTTTCAAGAATATCTATCCCATTGCAAATTTCAAGCTTTTTTGGTGTGTACATGTGCCTGTTGATCATGAAAATCTCGCCTTTTTGTATTTGTTTCAGGTGTACAGGTTGCAAATAAATAACGGGATCCCTATCAAAAGTTGGTATGATGATCCAACAGATGATGGTTTGATTACTATACTTCCCTTCTTAGAAACTTTGGCTGTTGCTGATGATGTTCGGCCTATCATTGGCAGGAGATTTGGTAACAAGGAATAAGAGCTTCCTTCTTCTTCTTTTTTTTTCTCTATATACATCGAGTGCAGATTCTGATTTCTTTCCTTTTGAATTTTAGTCATAAGCTGGGCCTTAATTTTAGCTCCTCATATCTCTCTTTAGGTCGTTAATTAGGTAACCAAAGAATAAGCTCGTTGAGTCTAGTGAGAGTAAGTTTTCCTTGCTTGCTCGCTTTTTAGAAACCTTCTGAATAGAAGAAGACCTAGTTGTGGGCTTAAATCATATTGTTTCACTGGTTCTTCTCTGCCAAGATAGATCCTAGAAAATCTTGCAGTTTGTTACAAATGTACAGTTGGTTAAGCTGAGATAATGGATTGTGTACAAATGAGTTCTTATTGCGTGAAATCATTTTGGAAGTTAACACCAGTTGCCTTCATGTCCTTCTCTTTTAACTGCATTTTTTTCCAGTCGTGTAATAAACCCAAGAGGAAGCTAATCACATAATGCAGAAGTTGAGCTTGAATCCTAAATCTTGAATCCATTTTTAAGGGTTTAAGCAAAGTTATTCCATTTTGCGCCTCTTGGCTTTGCAACAGTCAGATGGGAGGAATACTACTGAGTATACGATGATCGGGTGAAACTCATGGTATATATATAGTCTATAATCCTCATCAAAGTTTTCATAATTTTGCATGCCTTATGTGCAGATATCGTCCAACGAAGTAACGAACCTTAAACTATATTATACGCTATAAGGAAATGACGAGTAAGTATGTTGAATCCATTTTTACTTCGTCATTTTTGTTTTTGGTCTAACAAGCTTCATTTGCTTCTGGTTTCTTATTTCTTTCCTCTCTAACCTTTTGGTTGCCTAAACGTAAGCTATGTAATATTTAATACTGAAAGCTGTTTCGCAATTTTGTTTACTAAAACCCAATCCAAAACTGGTTTCTGTCTTCTGTTTTTCCTCATTGTTTCATGTAGATAATAGACTTATATCATACACACTCACAGATGATTATTAACATGTATATATCAGTTCCAGTAATGTTGTTTTTGCTTGCTTTCTTCATCCTAGGTTTTGTCATTCGTGTGTTGTGATGGGTTTTAAGTTGATGATCTTTGAGGTTGTCCTGAGTGAAATTTTCAGGAAGCAGAGCTCTGCAGAAACCAATCTCAGGCTCTTTGTTTGCCCATGAAAACGAATGCAACTTGAAAGTATAAATAATAATCAATTTGAGAGATTCTGGTCAATCACACATCTTTACTCAAAACTTGAACTACAATTTCCTTTCCGGTGACCTGTGATCATAAGTTCAAAATATAACAACTTGGCAATAGTCCTGTGTACTCTGTTTTCGGTGGAGTTTTCAAAAAGAAATTGCGAAGTTAAATAAATTCCCTTTACGAGACTGATCTTAGTGTAATAAATGAATACCTCAACACTAAAAGAGAATCAGTGTATGTGAAAAAAAACAAGCCTTCTGAAGCTGCCACAGATGTCGGATATTTCGAAGAAGCTGCAAATGCGTGAAGTATATCTCCGAAAGGGAAAATCTTTCTAGACGGGACACAATGTCTTCGAACTTTGAGTACCATCAAAATACTCCGTCTCATTTAGAGTCTTTTCACTAGAGATAAACCCCGTTCATTATCCACACACCACTGCAACTCAAGTCTAGAAAGAAAAGAAGAATATGCTGAGAGCTTCTGCGCTTCTCTGTTCTTCGACCTCAGCCACTTTCACGCCAATTCAACCATTTAACCCGAACATTTCCCCTCATTTCCCAACCTTCGAACTATCTCGTCCCGTCTCGGCTTTGTCTCGTGCCCGATGTCACTTCACTCTCGTGAGGGCTCGTGCAAAATCCAGCTTCATCGTTCGTAGCACTGGTAATTAAGTTTTTCTTTTTCTTTTTGTTTCAATGGGTTTGTTTGAAATCAGTTTGTTAATTTTGGGTTTTTTCTGTCTTGTTCTTATTCCTTAAACCTCGTCTTCTTTTTTTTTTTTTCCTTTTGAAATTTGTTTTACTTGGTTCCATGGATGTTCTTTTCAGTTTCCTTTTAAAATTTTGGGTTTTGTTTAGAGCTCTTGGCAACTGGATTATTGAATTGACTGTAAAAACTCAATTTGATTGATTTTCTGTGCTCTTTGATCTTCAGCTACTCAGGAAGCTGTGGAAACCAGTAGTAACATTGGATTGGATTTGGTTGAGGTTGGATTCTTGTCTGGTGTTCATGGCCTACAAGGCGAGATTTGCATTAAACCAAACACCGATTTTCCAGATTTACGTTTCTCCAAGGTAAAAATGTGATTTGTAAAGTCGAGAAATTTCTGTAAAGTTTTGTGTTTTTCATCCTGAAGAAATTAAGAAATTTTATATCATTTGAACATTGCTTTTGCTCCATTGGCATGATTTTACTTCATTAGCCTGGTAGAAGATGGTTGAAACAACAATTGTTGGGACAAGATAAGATTGAAGAGGTTGAGTTAGTCGAAGGCAGACCTCATCCTGCGCAGAAGAGTTGGATTCTCAAGTTTCAAGGCTTGGACGATGTTGATCAGGTACTGTAAATGATCCATGAGAGATTTCAGAAGAAACAATTTTTGAGATAATTTGTTATGTTTAAAGTTCAAACTTTGGCGGGTTTTGTTTAGGTGAGACAACTTGTTGGCGCAACTCTTCTTGCTGAGGAAGATGATCGTCCTGAGCTTGATGAAGGAGAGTTTTACACTCGCGATCTTGTAGGCATGAGAGTTCTTCTCAAGGTGTGTAGCCTTTGTCTCTTATATGATAAATGTTAAAAATGTGTGGAAAGTCTCTCTGGTCTTGATATAGTTTTGTTTATGCAGGAGACTGGTCAACTTGTTGGAACTGTTGCTAATGTTTTCGACAATGGAGGGAATGATCTTCTTCATGTCATGCTTGATTCATCCATGGAAGTAAGCAACGGGAGTGCAAAGACGAACCAGCTTGTGTGGATACCTTTTGTAGACGCGATTGTTCCGGATGTTGATTTAGAGAGAAGAGAGATGTATATAACTCCTCCTAAGGGACTCCTCGAGGTGAATATGCGAGCAGATGAACGATCCAAGAAAGAAAGACGTCAGCTTGTGAGGCATATTCTTCTGCGCTCTTCATATATTCTTGATCAGTCTTTATTAGACTGTTCCATTGTGATCTTTCTTGGACTACTTAAAGTTTACGTTCTGGTGATTTCAGGAATGGAAAGAGAGAAAAAAGCAGCAGAAACGGCTTATTGCTGCTAAAAAGAAGTTATGTGAATTGGAGCAAAAGCATGTGTTTGATGGATTAAGGTTCGGAGAAAAGTCTCAGAGGAGTTTGCTTGCTGATCATATCTTGGACGTAAACTCCACACTGCTTCAGAAAGCTTTGCAAAGCATCGAGACCTCTTCATCGAAGAGGTATATATATCTCTTCCAAGAAATTTCCCAAGATTGCGAAAAGTCTTGTTTTCTGAATATTTTCATTTGAATCTTGATGAATTAGATGGAACGTAACCGAGGAAATCAATGCGCTGAGAGCTAGAGTATCGGAGTGTACTCTAAATGTATCACGGGAGTGCCTTAGTTTTGATGCAAGTAAAGAGAAAGTGGGTGATAACTTCAGTTTCATTCAACAAGGGAAAAGTTTATTCTCTGAGGGAAAAGTTTGTATTTGTTTGGTTCTCAATGATCACGAAAACGAACAACCGGAAGCTGAGAATGGTGCAGTCTCGTACCTTACTACGCTACTTGATGATGAGCAAAACTTCCCAAAGGTTAGCTGATACCGTAATTTACGAAATCATAAGCTTGTCTTGTCATTTAGTTCTGCTTTTACTAGATAGTAACTCATCGGATTACACGCAGGAAGAAGAGCGTGCTTGTGTGCCACTCGTTGTTGTTTCCCCTGAACATACCATCGAAGCTCTGCAGAACCTATTTCAGGATAATGATCATTTTGGGTTTGATACAGAAAAGGTAAAGACTTTGATTCCTCCAATGATAGATTTGCATTTTGGATTCTATCAGGCTTTTTATGTAACAAAGTTCATGTTTTACAAATATCTAGATATGGTTTCTCAAAGAAGAAACCCTTCCCGTAGTTTGTAGCGCACCAGAGGAACCGAAAAAGCACAAGATTTTGATGAAATCTCCATGGGAGATACTCAAGTCCCCTGTTGGCTCTGGAGGAGTCTTGAGCATCCTTGCTTCACATGGAGTCACAGACTCTCTTTCCAGCCTCGGAATCGATTATCTTCAGGTATCGATTAGTTAAAAACTCATCGCTTTTATCTCTTTGATCAGTTTGATCCTCTCTGATATTCTCCTTCAAATTTGGTTAAAAAAGCATTAAGCTTTGAGATTGTTGGCTTCTTTCATAGGTACATAGCATTGGAACAAGATCACAACCTCCGCAACATTATATCAATCCGATGCTCGTTGGACTTGTGAGCGGCAAAGGAGCTGAGATTGGGATTCAGTTGACCGGAGAATCTGAAGTCGAGAACTTTGAAATGATACTCTCAGTGAAGTATCTGAAGAGATTGAAGGGAAAGATTGAGTTTGAAGCTGTCATGAAGATGAATGCACATGTTCAGAAAGTTGAAAACGAGTGGATCGAGTCCGTACCAACGGAACCAAACTCGTTTGAGTTTCGTTCTGATATTTACAGAGTCTTGAGTGAGTGTTCTTCATCAGCTAAGATTTGTTTGATGAACATTACAGTATAGAACATATGTGTATACACATTATTATGTTCCTTAGGTTTTCTTCCTCACATCTATAGCGTTTTTTGTAAAAAACTCGAAGATGTTATTATGAAAGAATTTTATTAGATTCATCAATTTGTCATGGTATCAAAGCTATAGTTCTAGTGAGTTGCAGAAAATAACACGATCAAGCCTGAATTTTAATATTTTATCACTGAATTTCTGAAAAAAAAAAAGAGAAGAAGAAAATCACACAGAGTATGCTAATAAGCCCATAAGATTTGAATTTTGTTTTTCAATTGTTCCTTGAAATAGAAATTTTATTGGGCTTGAACATAAGCCCATTTCGTGTATAATCAGAAACCCTAGGGTATGCCTATAAAACTTTTTTCGTTCCTGCTGTTCACAGAGTCGCCTTTGAGAGATCTTACGAAGTAGCAAAAATGGCCGTCCCGTTGCTTACCAAGAAGGTCGTGAAGAAGAGGTCTGCCAAATTCATCAGGCCTCAGAGCGATCGCCGTATCACCGTGAAGGTAACCACCTGTTTTCATTGTTAAGAGATTTAATCTTTCTTGACATTGATAGCTCTGTTCTTCAAGAAAATTTAGCTTAGATACTTTGGAAATAATATAAGGTTCCGAGTCATATTAGATTTTTTCTGGACTTGATTAGACTATTGAACCTTGTCATTGTTTGCTCTTAGTCTGATAAATTTATAATTCTAAAATCTTGATTTTTTTTGTGTGTGTGTTGCTGGTCTTAAATGTAGCATTTTTTAATGATAAATCTTTCAATTTTCTTGAATTTGTAACATTATTAGTTATAGTTTTGTTTTCGTTAGCTGATAAAGATTAGGCTTTTCTTGATCAATTATATCAATCTTCACTAGCTTCATTTGCTGCATCTGAATATGCCCTATGGTATCTGGTGGCCAGAATATAAACTTATGTTTCTGGTCACTTCGTTTTTTCAAGGGCTGAAAATGAAACTCCACAGGTCTTGCGACACAGTTTGCTTCAGTTTGATAAGCTTACTGTTACTTAAAACCCTGTTCACATTTCGATTCTCAAACAATCTTGCTCAATTTTTCATTTCTTCTATTTGCTCTTTTCCATTTCCAACACCGGTTTTGGTTTGTTAATGATGTTTAGGAAAGCTGGAGGAGGCCAAAGGGTATTGATTCAAGGGTTCGTAGAAAGTTCAAAGGTGTCACCTTGATGCCCAATGTCGGTTACGGCTCCGACAAGAAAACACGTCACTATCTCCCCAACGGTTTCAAGAAATTCGTTGTCCACAACGTCAAGGAGCTCGAGCTTCTCATGATGCACAACAGGTTTGTCTATATAATACATCTATATAGTTTTATACATCATAGAGATTGTTGGGTAAGATTCTCATGGTGTGTTGCTTTTTTTTTTTTCTGGTTCTCAGGACTTACTGTGCGGAGATTGCTCACAATGTCTCAACAAGGTTGAGGAAGTCGATTGTGGAGAGAGCTTCTCAGCTAGACATTGCCGTTACCAACAAGCTTGCAAGGTTGCGTAGCCAGGAAGACGAGTGAAGAAAGCCCTAAGAAGATAATCTAGGGTTTCTTTTATCTGTCATTGACATTTGACAATTTCAGAGTTTATTACTTTTTTCTTGCGTATCGAAAAGTGACTGAATGTTTTTATGTTTTCTGTTTTAAACATATGATTAATTCAGTATCTATTCTACATTTGATACCTTTTCAGATTTTCAAAGCAAAATTCTGAAACGAATCTGTTACTTGTAGACCAAATTCATCAGATAAAGTTAATTACACGCGGAAGCTAAAGCGAATCAAATCAAATTCGGTAGAAAGTTATAACCTTTGTTGACTCTTGAAACGTATAAAGTGCTAAATGAAGTTTCCAAACTTTGTAGTTAATAGTGAAGCGAATCGATACAAAGTGTAACGTGACGCTGCTTTGTGGCTATTATAGAAATGGGGATTGGTGCCATTTTTCGAAGATTGTCCTTCTGGTGTTTCGATTCTACCAGAGTTTTCCATGGGAATTGCAACAGAAGTTTCTCAGTGTCCATGGAGCTTCGAAATCGCGAAGCTTTGATATGTAATCACTTATTGAACCGAAGTCTCGACGAGGCCCGTGAGGTTTTCAATCAGGTTACATCTCCTCATGTAAGTCTTTACACGAAGATGATCTCTGGGTACACTAGGAACAATAGATTAGTCGATGCGTTGAATCTGTTTGATAAGATGCCTGTGAGAGATGTTGTCTCGTGGAACTCGATGATCAGTGGTTGTGTGGAGTGTGGAGACATGGAGACTGCAGTGAAGCTGTTCGATGAAATGCCCGAGAGAAGCGTTGTTTCGTGGACGGCGATGATGAATGGGTGTTTTAGGTCCGGTAAGGTCGATCAAGCGGAGAGATTGTTTTATCAAATGCCTGTGAAAGATATTGCAGCGTGGAACGCGATGGTCCATGGGTATTTACAGTTTGGTGAAGTTGACGATGCCTTAAAGTTGTTTAAGCAAATGCCTCGGAAGAATGTGATTTCATGGACGACCATGATCTGTGGGTTAGACCAGAATGAGAGGAGTCGAGAAGCTCTCGTTTTGTTCAAGAACATGTTGAGTTGCTGCATAAAGTCGACTTCAAGAACATTCGCTTGTGTGATCACAGCCTGTGCAACTGCTCCAGCGTTTCATATGGGTACACAAGTTCATGGCTTCATCATCAAGTCGGGGTTTTTATATGAGGAATATGTGTCTGCTTCGCTCATAACGTTTTATGCAAACTGCAAGAGAACAGAGGATTCTCGGAAGGTGTTTGACGAGAAGGTTCATGAACAAGTTGCTGTGTGGACTGCTCTATTGTCAGGGTATAGTCTAAACAGAAAGCATGAAGATGCGCTAAGTGTTTTCTCCGAGATGTTGAGAAACAGTATTTTACCAAATCAATCAACATTTGCCAGCGGATTAAACTCTTGCTCTGCTTTGGGAACATTGGATTGGGGTAAGGAGATGCATGGCGTTGCAGTGAAACTTGGTTTAGGAACTGATGCCTTTGTAGGTAATTCTCTCGTTGTCATGTACAGTGACTGTGGAAATGCAAACGATGCTGTGTCGGTGTTCACAGACATCTTGAAGAAGAGCATTGTCTCGTGGAATTCTATAATTGTTGGCTGCGCGCAGCACGGGCGTGGTAAATGGGCTTTAGTCATATTTGGTCATATGATTCGCTTAAACGAAGAGCCAGATGAGATCACTTTCACTGGCTTGCTCTCTGCCTGTAGTCATTGTGGGTTTCTACAGAAAGGAAGAAAGCTGTTTGAGTACATGTCAAGCGGACCAAATCATATCGATAGAAAGATTCAACACTACACTTGTATGGTAGATATCTTGGGAAGAAGCGGGGAACTGAAAGAAGCAGAAGAACTTATCGAGAGCATGCTTGTGAAACCTAATGAAATGGTTTGGCTGGCTTTACTCAGTGCTTGTAGAATGCATTCTGATGTAGACAGAGCCGAGAAAGCTGCTGCTGCCATTTTTAAGCTGGACTCAAAATCAAGCGCTGCTTATGTGTTGTTGTCGAATATATATGCTTCTGCTGGTAGATGGTCGAACGTATCGAAATTGAGAGTAAAGATGAAGCAGAAGGGTATAATGAAGAAACCGGGGAGCAGTTGGGTTGTGCTTAAAGGGAAAAAGCATGAGTTTTTCTCTGGTGATCGACCAGATAGCTTGGGAATTTATGAAAAGTTGGAATTTCTGAGAGACAAGTTGAAGGAACTTGGCTATGTTCCTGATTATAGATCTGCTTTACATGATGTTGAAGACGAACAGAAAGAAGAGATGTTGTGGTATCACAGTGAGAGACTTGCTATCGCGTTTGCGTTGGCTAATACCATTGAAGGAAGTACAGTCACAGTGATGAAGAATCTACGGGTTTGTGAAGATTGTCACGCAGTGACTAAGCTGATCTCAAGAGTTGTGGGACGTGAGATTGTTTTAAGGGATTCGTCTCGGTTCCATCATTTTAAGGATGGGGCATGTTCTTGTGGGGATTATTGGTAGAATAGTGGCTTAAGAAGTTCAAACTTTGACATGTGATGTGAGAAGCTCAGGTCAAAAATCTTATCTTGAAAAGAAAAAAGGTCAAATGGTAATAGAAAGATAAGAGAATCCTAAACAGGGTTGTGACTTGTGTGGCGGTGACACTCGTTTGATAGTCACTACGATGCTGGTGCTAAGTTATATCATATCTAGTTTTTCATTACGACCGCAGTGAGTCTTTACTTCTCCTTTGACTCAGAATTGTTGTTGTTGTCCTTTCCAAAAACTATGCTTCTTCAAGCTAGTGCCTAAATGAGTTTGCTTGGATCGTTCTCATTTTAGGAGACTTGGGAAAGCCCTTTGAGAACAAAACAGAGGATGAGATACAAGTATGGTGGCAAGCCTTGACCAATGTAGCACATATTCTCGAAATTGGTAAGAGTCTGACGATTTATTCCCATGGACTTTTATTGTATTTACAAGGTCTGTTTAGCATTTGATTCGAACCGATTTCTTTTGTATAACAGAGAATGAAATATTTGAGTGGTTGATTCTTGTTTGATGCTTTACATCTATGCTTCACACAGAACCTTTGCAAAGTTCGTTTTTATTGATTTAGCATGTCTCAAAATTTCGCTACAAAATCATATTATGTTTGTTGTTGTTGTAGACTTCTAGTATACTCATGAGGTTGCTTATAGTTTGAGCTTACTTCTCCATAAATCCTCTCCTTAGCATAGCAAGAAAACAATTTTTAAAAATAAAGAGCCCGTTGGGAAAATGAATATTACATTGAGATGTTAATGTAAAAAGATAAGAGAGACATAGGGTTTGTGGCCTTGTGTGGACGTAATTAAGTCAACAAATAGGAAACTTCCGTACTTCCCACCACCTTTACTAACACTCCTTTGATTTTCTTTTCAGAATATCAGTCACCACCTCTCTCACTTTGTCTATGGCTGTCTCACCATCTTATTCTTCCTCTTCTCGCACTTGGGTGTATGATGTTTTCCCGAGCTTCAGCGGGGAAGACGTTCGTGTAACTTTCCTCAGCCACTTTCTGAAGGAGCTTGATCAAAAGTTGATCATTGCTTTCAAAGACAACGAGATCGAGAGAAGCCGATCACTGGATCCCGAGCTGAAACAGGCCATTAAAAATTCGAGGATCGCGGTGGTGGTCTTCTCCAAAAACTATGCCTCTTCAAGCTGGTGTCTTAACGAATTGCTGGAGATAGTGAAGTGCAAGGATGATTGTGGTCAAATGGTGATACCTGTTTTCTACGGTTTGGATCCTTCTCATGTGAGGAAACAAACCGGAGACTTTGGAAAGATCTTTGGAGAGACATGCCACAATAAAACAGAGGAAGTGAAAACTCAATGGAGGGAAGCTTTGACCAATGTTGCTAATATCCTCGGATATCATTCAGTGATTTGGTACGATTATATGAACCATTCTTTTTTGCCTATATATCTTGATTCTTGAATAAATGTTGTTTTCGTGATTGTCTATCTTTTTTCTTGTTAGGGGCAACGAAGCAAAAATGATTGAAGAAATTGCCAATAATGTTTTGGCTAAACTACTTTTAACTCCATCGAAGGATTCTGCGGACTATGCCGGCATCGAAGATCATATCGCAAAAATGATTGAATTGTTGCAGTTGGAATCTGAGGAAGTGAGGATGGTTGGTTTATGGGGTTCCTCAGGCATTGGCAAGACTACGATTGCAAGAGTTCTGTTTAATCGACTTTCTCGTCACTTTCAAGGTAGCATATTCATAGACAAGGGTTTTTTATCCAAGAGTATGGAGACTTATAATAATGCCAATCCAGACGACTACAACATGAAGCTGTATTTGCAAAGAAAATTCCTTTCTAAATTATTGGGGAAGAAGGAAATACATATAGATCAACTAGGTGCAGTGGGCGAGAGGCTAAAGCACCACAAAGTTCTTATTTTCATTGATGATTTGGATGATCAAGTGGTGCTAGATGCCTTGGTGCGTGAATCTCAATGGTTTGGATGTGGGAGCAGAATCGTCGCGGTTACAAATGATAGGCATTTTTTAAGGGCTCATGGGATTGAACACATTTACGAGGTCTGTCTCCCATCTGGAAAGCTCGCTCGAGAGATGTTATGTCGATCTGCTTTCAGGAAAGCCTCTCCACCTGAAGGCTTTGAGAAGCTTGCTGATGAAGTTGCAAGGCTTGCGGCTAAACTTCCTTTAGGTCTTAATGTTTTGGGTTCATCTCTACGGGGTAGGGATAAGGAGTACTGGATGGATTTGTTGCCAAGGCTTCAGAATGGTTTAGATGGGAAAATCGAGAGAACATTGAGAGTCAGCTATGATGGATTATGTAGCGAAGATAAAGCGATATTTCGTCACATCGCATGTCTTTTCAATGGTGCGGGAATCACATACATCAAGTTGTTCCTCGCAGACAGTAACTTGGGTGTTAATGTTGGGCTGAAAAGCCTAGCTGATAAGTCACTCATTCATGTAAGGCGCGGTAAGGTGGAGATGCACCGTTTGCTACAAGAAATGGGTAGAAGTATTGTTCGTCTTGACGAGCCTGAGAAACGGGAATTTCTAATGGATTCAAAAGATATCTGTGATGTACTAAATGATGGCACTGTAAGTTTTGTCATATTATCGTCCTCCTTTGATTCATTAGTCCGTATATAAGATTAAGAGCATGTCATTTTATAGGCAAGGAGTAGTGTGTGTTTGTTAATCTTTTTTATTGATATTATAATTTTCAGGGTACTAAAAAGATTTTAGGTATATCATTGAATATTAATGAGATTGACGAGTTGCATGTACATGAGAGTGCCTTCAAAGGGATGCGTGATCTGCGTTTCCTAGAGATTAAGGGAACAACACCAGGCAAATTGCACTTACCCGAAAACTTGGACTATTTTCCCTCCACACTCAGGTTATTGTGTTGGCCCGAATATCCAATGAGATGTATGCCTTCTAAGTTTCGTCCTGAATACCTTGTCAAGCTCGACATGCCGCATAGCAAGCTCGAGAAGCTTTGGGAAGGGGTTGTGGTAAGTTTTGAAAATAACTGTTATGTACTTTATGTTATCAGTAGTGAGATTGGAATCCTTATTTCCCAATCATGTCTACTGAAGCTCGGCGTTTTGTTTTGATGAGTACAGTCGCTTACATGTCTCAAAGAGATGGATTTGTGGGGATCTGAAAACCTGATAAAAATCCCAGATCTTTCAAAGGCTACCAATCTCGAGACACTTAGACTTGCATATTGCAGTAGTTTGGTGGAACTTCCTTCCTCTATTCCATATCCCAACAAACTGACGACATTATACATGATAAATTGTCGAAATCTAAAGATGATTCCAATTGGCATTAGCCTTCAATCTATTGACTCCCTCTATCTCATTGGATGCTCACGGTTTATGACTTTTCCCGAACTCTCACCCAACATCTCTGAGCTATTTATAGACGGAACAGCCATTGAAGAGTTCCCTTCTAATTTGAGTCTCGGGGATCTCCGTTATCTTAGCATTACAAACCTAAGTAGTACGAAACTATGGGAAGGAGTGCAGGTATGTAACTCCAAACTTACGCTTTCTCTAACCTCTTTTCTAGTATTATATCAGTGCAGAGCTAAGTGAATTGCTCAGTTCTTAACAAGAAAGATTTGCTTTGCAGAGTTATCAATCATTTTGGTTGTTCAAGTTTTTTGGGATTGGACTGAAAGCTAGAAAGTAACAGACTGAAGCGTATTTAACGTATAGTATATAACCAGCTCTACTTTTTAGTAACAACTGTAGCTAGGTCGGTCGAGTTTTATACACTGGTTATTAAGAATACTAGTTATTTTAATTCTTTTTAGATTTTATTTCTAAATTTTAAGTCACGGTAATATGCAACTTAGAAGACTAAAAATATTTTTGCTTAAGGTTTTGTATAATGAAACAAAAGAGAGTCGATTAAGATGATTTTGTAATTGGTTCAGGGGCTTACTCCCCTCATGGTGATGCTGTCTCCCTCTTTGGTGGAATTGAGTCTCTCGGATATCTCAACTTTGGTGGAGCTTCCTTCTTCATTTCAGAATCTCCATCAACTCACGCTTTTGAGGCTTGAAAACTGCGTAAATTTGGAGACTCTTCCCTCTGGAATTAACCTAGGCTCTCTAGACGCCCTCAGTCTTAGTGGATGCTCACGGTTGAGGAGTTTTCCTGATATCTCAACCAACATCGCAAATTTGAATCTAAACGAAACAGCTATTGAAGAGGTCCCTTTGTGGATTGAGAAATTCTCTAGGCTTGAAGATCTAACCATGAACGGATGCAACAAGCTAGAGTATGTAATCCTAAACATTTTTAAACTGGAACGTCTTCGGGAAGTTGACTTTTCAGACTGCAAGGCATTGACTAGAGCTAGCTGGAATGATAGTCCAAGTGTGGTGAATTATGCCCCAACAGGAGTCGATATCAATTTCACCAACTGCTTCAACTTGGATCAAGAAGCTCTGTTTCAACAGAAAACATATTGTCGTTATAAAGTGAGGTTGCCAGGTGAAGAAGTGCCATCATATTTCACTCACCGAACTACTGGAACCTCCACTCTAACCATCCCTCTACTTCACAGCTCTCTCTCACAACCATTCCTCAGATTCAGGGTTTGCGTTGCGTTTGATTGCGATAAGAAGTGCTATCATAACTATGCTTATTTTCATTTCAAAGGCAGATTTTGGAACAACTTTGATTCCTTTGGTCAGCCACAGGACTTCTGTGCAGACACGAAGACGTACGGCACCTGGACAAATAAGAAGGATAATCGTGTGTTTATAACGGACTGTAGTATCCCTCTAAGCAAAGACAGTGCTATCCGAGCTGAAATGAACTTCAGTCATGTGGATTTGCAGATTCATGTTCCTAATTGTAGTCACTCTTCGTACCAATGGGAATGGGGTGTACGAGTCTTAGAGGGCAGTTCATCAGCCGATGAAGACAATATGCTTGATGAGGCGGAACAAGTAGAATTGGAAAGCAAAGATGCAGTGGCCTTGCTTAGACTTCGATCCATGTTACAGACACGTAATTCATTTTCATCCAAATTTTAGAAGTAAGTGAAATTAATATTTACCATTTTCTTTCTAAACTCACTTAAATGAACAGTTTCTAGATTCTAGTTCTCAGTAAAAGAGTTCAAGTGGTACAGAATCATTGCAATTACGAAAGATGAGCAAATTTTAAGAGCCCATGGGATTTTGATTGTATTTACAAAGTCTGTCTCTCATCTGTTTTCAGGAAAAACTCTCAAGTCTCAACCTGACAGGAGCATCTAATTAAGAACCTATGACTAGGTTTAGAGAGTGATTTCTGTGAGACAAGAGAGGATGTCCAAATTCAATGCTGACAATTGAATTTTCCATGTGGATGATTAGGTTTTGCGTATTTCTGATTTTTTGCAGACAAACAATTGACATTTCAGATTGGAAGGGACATTGACTGAAGTCCTGCCCATTAAGGTCTCAGTCTCGCCTCTTCTTCTGTTCCACGTAATCATGAATTACTCCAGAGTCGTATCTCTCCATGTTTAGCATTTAATTCGGAACCATTTCTTTTGTAGAATAGAGAATGCAATATTTGAGCTTTAGTATTTAGTATTTAGTGTCTTCTTAATTTTACTTTCTTATTAAGAATTTTGTTTGTTTGTCAGTTCCTTAGAAACTTTATTTCTCTTGCAGGCTGGCATTCCACTTGATCATCATAAAGGAGGCATGAAGCAATTCTACAGAGAATCGTACCGCAATTAGCTAGTCAAGCTCAAGCACCGGTGACAATTTTTTTTTCATGTTTTTAATGCTTCTGTTGATGGCATTATACCTGCTGTATCTCTTGAGTTGGAGAAGGCTTTAAAGGTGTGTGTTTTACATACCAAGGGACCTGTGATTTGTTAGACTATGAGTTGCGTTTATGTGTCTGTTTTCTTTTTGATGTGCCTTAAATTAATTTTCTTCCCTGATGATACTTGATATGGACTTGTAGGTTAACGGCAGCATGTCCATGACTGTGAGATTGTTAGAGCTAAGAAGTTTTATGGGTACCATTCAACAGAGGAGGCTTTTGTGAAGATTTATCTGTATCCTGTGTATTTGCTTTTAGTCCAGTACCCTTTTCTTAGACTGTATTATTATTTGTTCACCTTGACAGTATAATAGCTACCATCCACACGATGTGGCTCGTGCTGCCAATCTTCGTCTGGTACGACATCTTGATGATTCCGGTCCACCATTGTTCTGTAGTATGATGCATAAAATTTAGTGAAAATAGTATATTGATGGCGATTTTCATCTACCTTTTGTAATAAGCGTTTGTGTTTTTTTTTTTTTTGTCTCTCTAGGATGGTGCTGTTCTTGGTAAAAGTTTGCAGCCTTACGAGTCTCATATTCCTTTTATTCTCCAGTTTCTGGTAATTTTTCGTTGTTATGTATTCAAAATAAATCGTTTGGCGACTACGTAGTCTGTCAAGTTTAGTAATTTTACTTATGAACGTAACTTCCATATTGATAATACACTTACTTTCGAGCGCCTGAAAGTCCAGTACTGAAGTCTCTTTCACTCTCTTCTACAGATTGACTATAATTTGTATGGAATGGGTCATGTGCATATATCAAAGATGAAGTTCCGTAGTCCAGTACCTCACCATTTCCGTCCAAGGAGATTTGGTTCTGATGATTGTGTGGGACAAGGGATTGACGAAGTGGCTAGCACAAAGGTTCAAATACTTGAAGCTTGGCAACATATTGCTTGATAGTTTCTATCTTCTTTTATTTCACTATAATGAAACAATGTAGCAGGCAGATTCAAGTGCTGCTGCAAGCGTCAGTTTCCCTGTTTGGAGCTTGTCAACAATCCCAGGTCAATGGATGTGGAATCTTTTTGAAGGATCTGATACACCTTTGAGCCAAAGCCAGCATAGCCACCATTACAGACGTCAGAGTCTCTGTGAACTTGAGGGAGATGCTTCTTCTTCTTCTTTGGGAGGTTCATCCAAATTTTCTTAGCTTTATACCTTGATGTAATTTAGTTGGTCTTCCCTTATCCAACCTCATCACTGTTGTGTCAGGAGGAGTATGAAAGGACTGGTGTGCATGAGCAAGTTGTCGGAATATTTTATTGTGTAGTGCAAATCGAAGCTTCCCCTCAATGACACCTCAGCATTTTTTTTTTAATTTTCGTGTTGCAGAATAAATAAAGAAAAAGTCTGGTAAAATCATTAATCATTTCAGTCAAAGTAAAAAAAAAATTATTCCGAAGCGTCCCCTTCCGTAATTAAATCACTCTTATCTTTTCAATAAAAAATTTGTTAAATTGAAATCAAAAATTGAGAGACATGAGGAGACGACGAGCAAAGAGGAATCGATCAGAAAGCAAGTTTGACGGCAATGCCGCTTTCGCCGTCGGCGGTTTCATGCCTTCACAGACAACTACGCAAGCGCCTAACTTCGCAGCGTCCTCGGTTTGGCCTCTCTAATCTTCTTCGCTATGGTATCCAGTGCCTCATCAGTCATCACCATACGAATCTTCTGCTTCTTGGAATCTGATCCCGTAATAATGGAGCCAACTCCATCGCAACTGCCGTGGTCAGTGATTAGATATTAACTTCATAAGATCCATTGATTCTTAACAATGAGAACACATGTTGTTGTCCTCGATTGACATCTGTTTCTAAAACGTTTCGTTTCTCTAATTTTGATTTATGTTTGCTTCCGTTGATTTATCTAAACGTTCCTGATATCTGGTTTTGATTTCAGTTACAAACTATAACTGTAAAACTCTGACTGCTACTGATACAAGCACTCATGGAGATTTCTCTGTGCCTCGCCGACCTACTGAGAAAGTTTCCCCTCCCTTGGTAATTCATCTTCTCGGTAGTCTCAAGTTTATTCTTTAACTTAGCTATATTTCATCTGTTTGACATGCAGATGTTATGTTATGTGTTCTTCAGGATTACTCTCACAAGCTTCCAGCTCGAGAGGTAATGGTGACGGATCTGCACGATAACAAGTGGAAGTTCTGGCATATTTTCCGAGGTTAGTTTTCTTGTGAAAATCCAAGATCTTTAGTAATAATCAAACTATCAAAGAACAGAGAGGATTGCTTACTCTGTATTTGTTTCTCCTTTTCAGGCCAACCAAAGGGACACCTCCTTAATACATGTTGGAGCGTGTTTGTGAATACTAAAAGGCTTGTCACTAGTGATTCTGTGCATTTCATCTGGTTAGAAAAATGTCTTCAAAGTTTAGTTTTTTATTTTTTAATGATACTTGTGAATCTTGGTAGTTATTGATGCCTTTTTGTTATTAACCACCAGGAACGATAAGAATCAGTTACTTCTTGGTATAAGACGAGCCAGCCGGCCACAAACTGTCATGCTTTCATCTGTTTTGTTAACTGACAGTATGCATTTAAGCCTTCTTACTGCTGCAGCTCATGCAGCTGCTACAAACAGCCGATTCACCATCTCCTATAACCCGAGGTACGGTTTTGAGATCCCATATGAATGCATGTTCGTGTTGTTTCTTTGCATTTGGTGATCAAGAACCCCTGTTTTCTTCAGGGCGAGTCCATCAGAGTTTGTAATACCTCTAGCTAAGTACGTGAAAGCGGTTTATCACACTTGTGTCTCTGTTGGTATGCGGTTTAGGATGTTGTTTGAAACTGAAGAATCAAATGTTCGTCGGTAGGTGAATTATCAGTCTTCCTTATCCATTACTCTGTTTTCTTACAGCTGAATGTCCTAAAGAATCTTTATTTAATGTCAAGTACATGGATACAATAACTGGCATTTGTGATCTGGATCCTACTCCTTCGACTAACTCTCATTGGTGGTCTGTTAAGATTCAGTTCAAAAACCAAACCTTTATTAGAAAATCTTTGCTCTTCTTGCATACATATTGTCATCATCTTGATCGCATGATGCAGGTTGGATCGGATAAGTTGACTGGAGGAGAGAGGCAACCAAGGGTCTCCTTGTGGCAGATTGAGCCTTTAACAACATTCCCAATGTATCCTTCTCCTTTTCCTCTCAGGCTGAAACGTCCATTGCTTCCTGGTCTCCCATCGTTCCATGGTATTGTACAATTTCAAAACTTGATTCATCCCTCTAAAGAATTTTCCATTTTTATATCTTCTAATCTTCTTGCCTCTCATTTGTTTTTGGTCTTAAAGAAGAAGATATGCGTATTGGTATGAGCTCGCCGCTTATGTTTGTGTTGTTGTCTCTGCTTTCTCCATGGAAGAGAATTTCAACTGTGGAAGGTATTTTTTTTTTTTTGCAGCTTTTCTCCTTTAAATTATGATTATTTGGACACATAGAGAAGTTAATTATCTTAAATCTTGTGTTTGTCTTTGTGAAATTAGCTTTGCGGGAATGGCGTAGATGTTTGGAGGACTCTATTTCGTTCTTAGAACAGAGTTTGATCTTGAAAAGCCTCCCTTGCATTAAAAGCCTTCTTTTCTTAATGTTCATGTGAATATATTTTAGGTTTAAAGAAAGTAAGATCAGATTTACAACAGATAAAAGAACCATATAGAATATATGTATCCCGTCTTACTATGTATACGGTAGTATATGTGTGTTTGTGATATAAAAATAGCTGGTCATAAAAAAGATCCCATAGAGGTGAAGAGAAAAAAAAAACCTAAACGAGTTATTTAATAAATATTTTTATATTATCGTCGACAACTTTCGGTTTAGATAAAATATTTTCGAATCGAACCGAACATAACTCTTCAGTTTATAAAAGTTGTCTTGCATAACATTCTTTAGATCTATATTTTATTACACTAAAAAAGTAATACTGATATTTGAATATATTTAAATAAGATTATTGAATATATTATTAAAAATGATCATGCTGTACGGTTTAGAGAAAAAGTGATGGGGGTATTTTTTGTTCCCGCCGTTTCTTTTATCAGTTTACTTTTTTTCAACATTTTTTTCATAATCTGATTTCGTCGTAAATTAATAATAAAACAACAATTTATAGATTTTCCTTCTTTCTGAAGATTTGTAGTTTTTTTGTTCAATAAAGGTTCTCAAATAAAAAGATCACATATTATAAAATAGCAGAATTTACATATGAAAACTGTATTGGAAAACCAAAGATTAACACAAATAATTTTTTTTTTATTTTATTAATTATGAAAACTAATATAACATTTACTGATGGTTAAATACATGAAATGAGAATATATACAAAAAAAAAGTTTACTTCTTCTTTTAGAAAATAATGTAAACAAAAAATATAATATAAGAAAACATAAATAATTGTGGCTAATTAAGATAGATATATAAAGGGAAAATGCCTTAAAATTTTAAACGCAGACTCTTGATCAGAATGTTGGAAAATATAAATTACAGTAAAAATTATTTATCAAAAAAATGTATTATGTGAAACTAATAAATTACATATCCATTGATTTCAAATTTACTTATTTGTGAATTTGACAAATTTACTTCTTCTTTGTTGTTTAATTAGTTTTAGAAATATATATATATATATTAACAAAATTACCTCAAATCATATAACATGATGAATATATTGAATTATCAAACATTATTTCAATGTTCTTTTAGCAAGTATTATATATATATACGTGTAAAATGTACAATATTTTAACAGAAATAAAATCAGATATATTTCAACTATATTAGAAAATACTATAACAAATAGATCAATTCTTATATGTAGTGCATAGAGTTTGAATAAAAACATACAATCTACAATCAATTTTATCTCGCATATATGCATGTTTTACAATACATCCAATCAACCAAAAACCTAAAAAATTCTTTAAATGTCAAACAATTTTTATCTTTCTTGATATAATAAAATTGTTTTTTTTAGAATTGTCAATTTATTAGCAGATTCTCTTATAAACAAAATCGTACATTTCTTTTGTTATTTGGATTTTAATTTAAATTCAAAAATAAATTACAACAATATTTAAATTAAAATATTATATTAATTATCTAAAATATATAATAAAATATAAACTTGTGTGTATACACGGGTCATCACATAGTAATATATAAAAATTGATGGCATAGTGCATTGAGAGCGTCCACATGGGATTAAAAAACTCGATCTGATTGGTCCACATCAGCATATTCATTAAATAAAAAAAATATTAAGTATGATTAGGATGGAAAAACTTGATTTAATTGGTCCATATCAGCTTTTTAATCAAACCAAAAATTATTAAGTATAACTAAAACATTAAAAATTAATTTAATAAATTATGTCCAACAAAAAAAGTAAATTCAATCTGATTGATCCAAATAAACATATTTATTAAATCAGAAAATGTTAATATGGTTTAAAATTTTAAAAGTTAAATAAAAAAAATTAACAATTAACAATACATGTTTAAAAAAAGTAACCATTATCAATTTTAAAAAATCTACAATAACTCGATTTAACAATTAAAATAATAAAAACTGAATATAAATATAACATAAAACTCTTGGATGATATGTTGGAGAAGGAAAAAATTGGTTTTGCATGATCATTACAGTTTCCTAACAAAATTAAATGCGAATCAACATGAATCATAGATTATATATGCAGTGGTATACAATATCAATAAGACTTTTAATAAAAAACTAAATATTTGAACACATAAACCTTCAAGAAAAAAAGAACTTATAGAAATTCTATAGAAAACAGAAAAAAATACCAAAATCTTAGCAAAATTATATTTCTCTAAATCAAATGTATATGTACGTCAAAGTTGGATAATTAGATAAATGTCATTGTTATTATTTTACTTAATAGTTTTTTTAAAATTTATAAATAAAAATAAGATAAATTACACATCATAAATTAAATTCTCTTATATAAATAAAAATTTCTATAAATATATTATATTTTTAATAATTTTAAAGATAGTAGCTACAAAAATTAAACCAAAATATTAATACAGACTCGCGCGTAGCGCGAGTTATATACCTAGTAATAATAATAAAAATGAAAAATCATTGCTTTCGAACACCATTCTAGTCATAACAAATATCAAAAGCATTATTTATCTCGTTGAACCTGCATGGTCCATCTTTGCTTATAGCCTAGAAACAGTAGATGCATGGAATCTCTCCTTTACGAGCACTGTAGACACCATCTCTGATATCATCGTATATATCAAACCGTTTTGATTGTCTTTGAGGCCATGTAAAATGACAAGCAAACACCGTCGATCCCCATATGTTTGGTCTAAAATAAAACGACCAAGACTTATTCGAAGCAAGAATTTTGAAGCTGAGATCGTCATCAGTGGAGTTACAATGGAGGTTTAGTGTCGAACCATCGCCGAGACGGTTTATGATTTTCACTTGTGATTTAAGAGGAGACCATTTATGATCAAAACCTGGAGTATCGATTACCACTCGTGAGAAAGCTATTTGGATGAGCAGAGATATCATCACCACGTAGATTTTTTTTGTTTTAATACCATTGCCATTGTTGAACCAAAATATCACTTATTAGGATAAGTAATAGACAATAGATCTTGCTGAAGTAAATAAAAACATTTAGTAGTGATCAATTAGAAAGTTTAGAACTTTTAGATTTGTTCTTCTGCTCTCTAAAAATTTTGGAATGGTCTTCATGCTATCACAAATCCTTTATTTATATAGCTTCATGGTCGGATCTAACAAACTTAGTTTCCTTTTTTCTTTAGAGATACCATGGAGATTTTCCTTAATGTATGATATACCCTTGGCGGTCTTTTTTTTTTTCCTTTTTTAGAGAGATTTACCAAAAAATACACTTTACAAAAAGTCATTGCAAAATTAGACACTTTAGAGATGTAAAGCATTTTGAGCTGATATTGGGTACTTAATATGACTATTTTACCCTTAATGAAAATTCTATCGATTAACCTTTTACCTCAGGATAGCTAGTTCTTGGTGTGAGGTTAAATTAGGAGATTGCGGCTGTTTTAATTGAGGCGTCATCAATTTGTAACCGGTGGCACAAATTTTACGATGATAAACACAATTGCAAAAGGATATAGTGCAAACATAGCAGAGATAAACTTGTGTGGTCAGTAGTTATTGACGGTGATGAGTGTTCATGCAAAATCCTCTCATAGTGGGCGAAATTTTGTAGGATCGAAGTTTCTGGTTATGATTTATGGTCGCCGGAAAACGAAGTGGAGGTCTGTAGCCGGTTAATTTAGTGTGTTAAGTAGTTGAAGGTCGTAGTTCATTTGTGCGTACATATCGAGAATATTTTGTGGATAGTGTTGGTTCTGTAAGGCGTGACATGTTACTTTAGTATTTTGGCTAGGTTTGGTGTATGACTTAGGATGGACGTGATCTGAATGGTGTGGATGTCGTAGTAATTTTGCAAAATATGTAGTCCGTTTTATGGTCAGGGTTGAATGGATGGATGAGGGTGTGGATGGCTCATGTAGAAGCGTACAATCTACAAGAAAGTTAAAGTAGGCGGTTGTGTAATTAATATTAGGCTAATATAAGCCGTTCGATCTCAGCGTAATTAATGAAGCATGGGGATGATTTTTTGTGGACAGTGTTTGCTTTGCGGTGGGAACATGTTGCATATGGTCATGGTATGTGTACAGATGTTGCGACCATAGTAGGATTGTCATGTACATATGATGATTGTTTTGTGGACAATGTTTGGTTCTCGTAGGCAGAGGTTAGAACGAAGTTTTCTGGGAGATGTATTGTGTACGACGTTTGTTGGACGTCACCTGGTGATCTTTGGAACCAGAGATGTGGTTTTTAGCCTCTGTTTTGGTTAGTGATGGTAAGTATTGCAGTAAGTATTGCAATAACAACTTTTGTGCATTTATATTTGAATCAGCGACTTATTATATCTGTAATACTCCGGTCATGTGGATAAGGTAGCGTGGACAATGATATTGGAAGAATAGAATTGGATCTGAAGCATGATAGATGCAAGTAAATGGACGAGAATGATGGATGCAAGTAAGTCGACAAGAACAGAAGTGAATGGATGACAGAAAAGAAAACAAATGGATGCGAATGATGGATGCATATTATTGAATGCTAGCGAATGGATGATAAGATGGATGTGAAAGTAGATGCATGCGAATGGATGGCAAAGATGGATATATGGGCATGGATGACAAAGATGGATGGCAAAGATGGATGCATACGAAAGGATAGTAAAGATGGATGCTTGTGGATGGCTAATGATAAGTGATTATATGATGGTGTGGATGGTATTAATATGTAAGAGATTTATGGACGCATTTCAAGTGGGGTCTATATAATGTTCAAAGTGTTAGTTGGGGATATTTTATTGTCGTCAAAATGAAAATTAAACGTAGGTGGAAATTTATAGTCAACAAACGTGGTAGAATAAAAAGAGTTCCAACACTGTACACATAGTTCCACCTATCATAATGATTAGAAAATATTACAACTGAAAATGAAAGTGGACAACATTAATAACAAAAAAAAAGAGAGTGCTTTCAAGTATTGGTTCTAAAATAGATTAGGATTACTTGATCCTATAAAAGTCGAGGCGGCGTATTGCTTACAAAAATAGATGGAGAATCTATCGGTTACCAACAAACATGTTGGTAAACGTGTGTCCCACTCTTGTGGTGCACATTAGAGATTTTAAACAGCAATTAGTTTGACAATATGGGTAAATTTAATGGATGAGTTAGATGTATGAATTTTATATGCGCAATGTGGATGCTCTTAGTGGATGCTCGATATGGATGCATTTTATGAATGGTCTATGTGAATGCCCTATATGCTT